AACATAGTGAAGATCTTGGTAGGGGTGAAATGTATTGGACAGAATGCCAGCACTGCCATTCAGTGTTGGAAATTAGACAAAATGCTGTGCAACATGCAACGGCCAAACTGCAAGTAAAATGTTCTGTATATACCAATACCATATTCAAAAATATATTTATTATATTTTTCAATTTCAGTTCAGCCAGTGAAAAAAGCTAGTGACTGCAGGATGTAAAAGACTTATGGAAAAGCGATGGGTCAAAATATGGCATAAAAATTTACACCCTTTAGATGCAAAGACATTATTCTTTCAATTTAGACATTTATCGTGGAACTCAGCCATTGGGTCCTTATTTATATAATAATAAACCAAATGATGTTGTTAACAGACTTGTTGCTCCCATTTCCCAGACTAATTGAAATGCGACCCTCAACAATTGGTTTACCAGTTCCCAACTGATGTTTTGTTTGGTAACAGAGCATAAGTTGACCAGTGCAGGAATTGTATGCAGGAACAAAGCAGAAATTCCAAATGAAGTGCTGTAGTTTCAAAACAGAGAATTGTATAGTATGATCTTCAGAAAGATGGAACATTGACCTCTTACATGGAAAGAAAACCAAACCTGTACTGCTGATGTCAACAGTTCACCATGATGGAAATATTGATAGGGAAATCTCAGCAAAACGGAAACCTGGGATGGAAAGTCTCACCAACAAAACTGAATGTGGAGTACACATTGTTGTTGAGTTATGCAGCCACTATGCTGTCACTTGAAACACACAGCGTTGGACAATGCTTGTGCTTTACTTGAGCCTTAACATGGGTGGCATAGTTCGGTAGTTTACAAAGAAAATAATAAATGGAAAATATCATAGAGAAAATTTTTAGAGGATTAGGACTGGCATTCATAAGAGATTATTCACAGCAGAGAAAAAACAAAATGTTTCTGCCTAAGGAACTTCCCAAAAAATTGTGGAGCACACTGGTGAGCTGGCAGGTGGACAGACAGACACAGCATCACAAAGACCTACTACAACAACAGGAAAACAAGAAAGTGTCCACTGTGCCCATCAAGAAAGAACAGGAGAACAAAACATATGACTATCAGTGTAAGTGATATTTGTGTGTGGAACATGCAGTTGTCATGTGTGAAGACTCCCTTGAGTGGGACAGTTGAAGCAAACCTTATTTCTACGGTAAATTTTTTTGTGTTTACACTGTAGTTCACAAAGGTTTTATTTTTGACCACTGAGATGCCAAGGCCAGGAAAGCAAAGACATGTGCAATCAGGGTAAGTGATGCGTGTGTATGGAACATGGTCTTGTCATGTGTGCAGACTGCCTTGGGTGTGACAACTGAAGTAAAGATTTTTTTGTAGAGTGCTATTGATATTTTCATTGTAGTTAATATGGGAATTTATTTCTGTTCTTTTTTAGACTCTGTACACCAAAAATCAATGTTGAAAATTTTGAAGCTTTTTAAATCAACTCAATAAATATTAAAAACTCAATACTTCATTTTTGTGATTTTTTTCCTCTTACTCATTGTTTAATATAGCTCATAAAATTAAAATTAGTAATTCACCAATAAAAAAATTCTGTAACACTCAAATCTATGCACCTTGATGACAAATTAGTCTTAGGCTCCAATGGCTACCAGTGAGACCAACGGGAAGGATAAGTTGGCAGGGCAGCACCTGCCCTGCTAAAACCCTCAGGTTCTATTACTCAGAGGAATCAGGGAGAAAAACACAGAAGGGCAATCAAAAGCCTTAAAAAAAAAAAAAGGTAAGGAAATGTGCAAAAAGAGCTAGGAGAGGTTTCCTTGGGATGGTGAGAACCAACTGGAACAAGACCTATCAGCTAAAAGGCGTGTATTTTAGGATTCCAAGTAGCTGAAAATTGTATTAGTTAAATTCCTCAGCTGCTTCTTGTCCTTCCCAAGGAGGCTGGTAGAAAATACTTCTAGCTCCCTATTTCTGGCAGACTCTCAATTATAGAACTAAAAGCCCAAGCACAGGATCAAACCCTACTCAGATTCCTGGTACATGCAAGAGAATCTAGTCTTCATTGAAATCAGGCTTCTTATCACCCAGCTTGTATTTGTTTGATGATTACTGGGTATGGCATTAAATACTTGCAATTGGGGAAGAAGCACAAAAGTAGACCTCTGATAATCTCCACATAACTTTCCTGAGGAAAACATCAGACAGGCTGAAAAGCCTGAAAAGCCTGTTGGTCTGAAAAGCACAACCCCTCTAGGCTAGTGGCCCTGGAAGGCCAGGGTCTCAGGATGGGGTGTGAAGTCTTCCAGCCCAGCAGAACCCTGAGGCAGCTGCACACAGGAGACAGTTACACCTGGGGACATGGCCAGCAGAGGGATTTCCCAAATGACAATTTTTATAAATTCCAGGCCTGCCAGAGCAGAAAGTGAGCAGGCCAAGAAAAATAGCAGCACACCCTGCTTTAGGGGAAACAAGCAACCGCAGGGTGGAAGACAAAGCGGAACAATCAGAGAGGGTTCCTGCAAAACAGGACTATCAGAGGACAAAGACAACAACTTTAGTCAAAAACAAGATTCCCTTTGAGCTTAAAAATTCAGGCAACCAAAAGGCATAGTTTTCAAACAACTGCCTACATTCAGTGAGAAACAGGATAGTCACTTTTGAGAGCTGATCTGCACTCTAGAAAACACGGAAGAAATATCCTAAAACACAATTGAAACACAACAGGACGTGATGTAGCTTTTAAAATCCAGCTGCTGACAGGAACTGGGTTTAAGCAGAAAGGAACAAGATCTAGGAAAAGGAGCGCCCACAGCTCAGGGGAGCAGCTCCCACGCTGTCTCCTTAGAACTCACTACCAAGTGACTGTCACCTGCACAGTGGGAACATCCTGTCCCAGCCGGGGTCCCCCACAGAGGGTGCCTGTGGGCACACACACGTGTGCTGTCTCTCAAACCCTCAGCCAGCAGCCAGTTAATGTGACTGTCACCACTGCCACTGGAGAAACAAAGGTCCCGGCTACCATGCAGCAGACATGCTACCACCGTGCCATGCTACCTCTCCCCTGCATGACTGTGCCTGGCTGATCCCCAAATGACACAGGGCATGCAGAAATAACGTCTGAGAAATGCAGGCTAGCGCTTTCTAAATCTAACACATACAGAGGCATGCTAGATAGGGTTTACAGTCATGGTCTAACATCTGATAGAACATATGTCACTATTTTGTCTGTTTGGCAGAATTACCCAGGAACTGTATTGTATTCATCAATCCTAAGAGGTGCAGCATTTTTCACCATTAAAAATCCTTAAAATCAGTGCTTGTGACCATCCACGCCGTTTTAGATTCACCGCCGCCGCTCCCGTACCCACCCCCACTTGCTGGCTGTTACAATTATCTGCATTAAAAGGGGGCAGGGTAACGCAGCTGTGAGAAACAAGACTGGTTGAGCATCTTATTATAGTTGGGAAACAGAGTGACAGTTCTTTTTTATCAATATATTCTTATAGTGCTTTTTTCAGCAGCACATACACTAAAAAAGAATGCTCATATATATAATAACTTGTACACTTTACATCTGTAATTTACAAATAAAATCCCAATTCTCAGCATATTACAGTAGCTGGCAAATGATATTCCCAAGAAAAGAGCTGGGCGTGGTGGCTCACACCTGTAATCCCAGCACTCAGGAGACTGAGGCAGGAGGATCACTGTGAGTTCAAGGCTAGCCTGGGCTACAAAGTGAGTTGAAGGCTAGTCTGAACTGCATAGTGAAACCCTGTCTCAAAAAGACAAAAAAAAAAAAAAAAAAAAAAAAAAAAAAAAAAAAGAGAGAAAGAGAACAACCTATTCTGAGGTTTAAAAATAGAATTTGAAATGATTTTGAGCTAAGGTATAAGAAATGCTTGGTAAAATAATAGCATGAAACAGCTTGTTACATGTTGATAATTTTAATTTATTTCTATTTATTTTGGTACCAGAAATTGAACTCATGACCCTGTACTTGTCTGGCAGGTGTCATGCCACTGAGCTATATGCCTGGCCAGCTGATTTTAATTTAAATTTTTATAAAAGATTCCACATCAAATGTGAATTAATACATAAACATGATCATATAGGGCACAGCTAATTTAATATGGAAAACATTATTCTGTAGCAACATTTGGATGTAAAGAAAAAAGCATGCATACCCCCCCAAAAACAGACTATCAATGCGTGCATAGGCAGAGCAGGCAAGTATTTAATACAGAGTGAGGAATAACTAATTTAAATTTTAGTAGAACTGTTTTAACTGTCTTAAAGACTCATGTGAGCCTTTCTCAACATGTAAATTCTTAGAGAAGATGGCCTCTTTAAAGGGTCCGTTTGCGTTAGTTATGTTAGATTCACACTTACAGCCTGCAGCATTGCCTAGGTCAGGCAGCCCTGGGCTTGGTGATGAGTGCTGGAGGCAGACACAGAGCCCCAGCCTCTGGCTGTGTTCCTCAGGAGGAGGCGCCAGCTGAGCAAGGTGCCCGGGCCTTTACTAGCCCGTTCCATCACCCTCCCCTCAAAACCTGCGTGTTCCCTTGCTGGTTTTTCACACCCCCGAAAGCTGGCCCTGCCTATGCTCCATGAACAGCTACCACATAAACTGTCAAATTAATGAATTACTAAGGAATAGCCCTGCCCAAAGCTATGTTCCAAGCAACCTGAAATCCAAAACAGCTCCAATGCTCTCTCAGATCTTGAGAGTCCCTTCCTTTAGGGAAGCAATTTATGTGGATAATTTTTTATTTGCTTTATCATTACATTCAAATCCTTCAAATACATCATTTGGTGTAATTTCTTTAAATAGAGTTACCATGGTTCAGCAGGATAAGGTTACAGTTTAAACTTTTCAAAAGTTTCATGTCTAGCGAGCAAAGAAACTGCTGAATAAAAGGTGCCTTTCCTTCTGTTACACAGATCAAACAGGCTCACCAGCATTTGCTATTTTCTTACCATTAGGAAAGGAACAAGAGGGTACAAATAATTCATAGCAACATGTTTATTTAAGCCCAAGCTATGCTTTGACTTACAAGCAAATATTTTTAGGGAAAAAAAATCACAAAAGACAATATTTTCCAGTATTATACTATCTACATAAAAATTAAACTTGCAGAATTTACAAATTAATGTTCTGAGAAGACAGATAAATTATATATCCTTTTGCAAATCCAATCTACAGTGTTTAAAAATTCATACAGGCGCAACGCAAGGTAGTCTCTCTTTACAATCTACCTATTTATATAGTGTTCCCCACCACAGAGGATAATAGTTCTCATCTTAGCTACCAAAGTTTGCAAATACAGTGTATTTAAAATATATTTAGCAGCATATAAAAATTAAAGGAAAAGGAAATACTACTATTAAATTAAAAAAAAAAGAAAAGAAACTCAAAGGCAATAATAGAAACAACTCCATAGGAAAATAGATCAAAATATCTTTCTGTTAGGGACATCAAAAAATGTTTACCATCAAAGAATGTATACACAGCACTAACAAAACAACAATCCAATAGCATTTTAGTCCTGAGCACAGAATATAGCAGAACTGCAAACTTTGGTCAATGTAAGTAAATGCCAAGATTTAACACAAATTGTTATACATCCTGTGTTAACAGATTCAGGTCAATTTCATTTTATGAGAAATCAATAATACTCTCCTTACTTTTCCCTTAAAAGAGCTTTGGAATTTGGGAATGTTCTATAGACTGGGATGCGTACCTAATGGCAGACCACAGTTTGACTCATATTTCCAGTATGTTTAAATATGCAAATCTTTTGACAGACTACATGAAGGAGTACACAGTGAGCTGTATTATATCCCAGGTGTGTTTTCTGTCACAAAAGCAGACATGTTACAATTCAAATAATTTGCCTTTTTCTAGCAAGGCACAAAAATCCAGCCACAATGAAAGTGTGAATCAAGCCATATTTCAATTACAGGATACATATGTATTCATAGACACTAAAAGCACACAGGATAGTACAGACAGAGTTTCATTAGAATATAATTTATACTTAGCAGCTGGATTCAGATACATTTTCCAGTTAATTCCATTCATAAGTTTATGCCTAATAAATACAGGACAACATTTCCCACAAAGAACATACAGAGTATTAATCACAGTATTTAGCTTATGGTTTTTCTCTTCACTCCTGTTTATGTACTGGTAATATCTTCCCCCAGGTCTCCTGGGTCAGACATCTGACTCTCTTGCAAATTGTGAGTCTTCCAAATTCTCACAGTTCGATCACTACAAAACAATAAAATCAAAACAAACATATGAACAGAGGCAGAAAAGTAAAGAAACAGCTCATAGAATTAATTAGGGAAACACGTTTTTAAAAACTGGCTTTTAATAAATGTAAGTAAAAACATACACTTCTTCATAAGAATAGCAAAGATGTATCCATCATGAAGACAATGATACAAGCTCCCATTCTCAAGGGTTTACTTTGCTTGGGACCTTGTTACTATGTGCCTTTTCCATTCATTTTAACCCATTAGTTTCCTTTACCTGTCTTAGAGACAAGTAGGCTGTGAGGTGCCCACCACCACGTGTTTTCTTTTTAGAATGTTTCTCAGAGTATTGCCCAGGTTGGCCTGGAACTCCTGGGATCAAGCAATTTCCTGCCTCAGCCTTCTGAGCAGCTTGGACTATGATATGTTGTTTACTACTGAGTGAATGGTAGGCTAGATCATAGAACAAGTGGCAGATACAGGCAGTGTAACTCAAGAGCCCTGTCTCTTAACCTAGAGCTGCACATGTTATTTTAGCAAGCGTGTTCTTGGACACAGGGTCAGGGGTCCTCAGGCTCAGTACCCCAGAGCAAGGTCATCTTGGTAGGGAGGGGTCAGGCTCAGATTCCCAGGAAGTTGGCGAGTCTGGTGCCAACAGGGAAAACTATTCTAGGTAAAATTAGAAATAAGCTCACAGAAAAAGCAGATGTAGACTAATGTGCCTTCAGATATCGAATGTAGAAAATGAAAAGGATTTCTGATAACCTAGTACACTATAAATATATACAACTATTTATCAATGAGAAATTAAAATTCAAATTTTTTTTAAAAAAAGTGTTTCTTTCCTTAAAAAACTAGAATTGGAAGTTCCATTCAATCTAGCTATTGCCCTCTTGGGTATTTTCCCAGAAAATTTGAAAAGGTCGTGTCTCAGCGATATATGTGCACCCCTGTTTATAGCAGCATAATTTGTAATAGCTAAATCTTGGATATAATGAAAATGCCCATCAACTACAGAATGGATGAAAATGATGTGGTATTTTTATACAATGGAATATTATTCAGCTATAAAAAGGATGATATTGAGGCTTTTATAGGTAAATGGAGGCAATTTGAGACTATACTTGTAAGTAAAATAAATCAGACTCATTTGTAAATATCGTATTGTCTCTCTAGTATCAAAAATAATAATAAAAATCCTGAAGGAGTAATAAGATCCAAAATGTATAATCAACATTGTAATAATGAAAGGAAAAGAAAGTGCTCTAAAGGATATAACTGTATTTATAGGTGCACAAGATAGATAACCATACTAAATTTTTGTTAGTTCATCAAACAGAATGGTTTGTACTGTCATTGTTTGATTGTCCACTTTTTATGCTTTGAGTTTGTGACTTAAGCAACTACTTCTAAGATAATAATATATAATTAATCAACTAGTGATTTCTTAGTGTTTTTGAAATTGTGTATTATTTCTACATTTTTTTGTTTTGCTTTTTTTCTCTAAATTTAAAAAAAAAGTGTTTCTGGTAAATTCATTCCTGTTCACCATGCATGGGGGAATCAGGATCAATTATTAGACAATCATATTTCTTACCCTGCATCTCCGGGCTTAACAGAAATATTTCTTTTCCCAATTTCATGACAATCCCAAAGAAAAAGAAGGGTTCTGTAGAATTTTATAGCTAAAAGGCACATCAGAAGTTTCATAGTCCATTCTAAAGAAAAAATCATGTAGGAACATGCCCAGTGTGGGGGAAAAAAATAGGCAAATCTTTGAAAGAACTAGGTTTTCTGGACTTTAATGATGTATCTTCTCACCATCCTACATGCACTGACAATAGTGCAAGACGTGTTCCTTCATTTACTCATTCAGTCTTTCAAAAGGCAGAACCCAGCAAAAGGGTCAGGGGCAATGTATGACAGGCACCCTGTTCAACAATGAATGGCTGTGACTTTCTTTCTAAGAAAGACTTGGGAACGGGATCTCTGTGCGAGGAGCAGCATCCAGACAAAGGGTGCAAATGGGCCAAGGCAGGAATAAGCCTGGCACATTCAAGGACAAGCAAAAAGGTCGGGCAAGTTGCAAGAGAACAAAGAAGCCAGAGGACATAAAGCAAAGGAAGTAAAGGCAGTTAAAGCATAGGCATAAAGCAAAGGCAGTTAAAGGGTCCGATTAAATATGGCCTCAACTCTCAGGGAAGTGGAGGACTCTGTAAGGTTTTAAGGGAAAAAATACAACTAGACTTCCATACTTTAAAGGTACAGCCAAGAGGATTTTATGAAGGATCAGATATGGAGCATAAAATAAAGAGACAAACGCAGAATTTGCCTGAGCAAATAAAAGACAAGTCATCATCTGGAAAGAGGAAAGCAGTGGGATGTGCAGGTTTCTTATATGAGAAAAATAAGAATTTCACATCTCCACTCTTAGTTATGACAGACACCATTATCAGATCAACCCTCTACTGTGTATGAAGAGGAAACCAGACAAAGTATCTGAAACAACTGTTTTCAGACGCTGGGAGAGTCAGAACGGCATTTGATCCCCAAGTAAAGGGAAATGAGGAGGATGAACTGCAACAGCTTTGGCTTCTTTTGGAAACATTTTCCACAATACTGCATGGGAAAGCCTCAGAATTACTGAGATCAAGAAACAGAAAACAAATCTAGAGAATCTACAGTGGGTGGGACTTGCAAAACTAAGGAAAGAAGGAGAAAAGTCTCTTCAGAACAAGACTTCTATAAATCTTCACAGGAGTCACAAAGCTTTTGAACATTAAGTTTCACAAGGCTGCGGCTGTAAACCCAGAAGAAACGCAATAGCTACACAGTGAAAAATTCTCAGAGCTACTTGGATCTACCTCCAAAAGCTTAAAAAACAAGTCTCAAAAAGATAAAACTGAACCATTAACTTACCTGCCTGAAAAAGCGCAACACCTTTATAAAAATATAACAAAATCAAGACACTCAAACTGCAGTGCTATAATATTTAGGATCCATTAAAATTTTACCAGATATGAAAGTAAACAGGGAAAATGTGTCCGACAACCACAAGAAAAACCAGTGGGTGAAACCAGAGGCAGAAATGACAAGTATGATGGAACTACTATGTGAGGACCTTAAAGGATAATATCTCAATTTCCTCACCTATAAAACAGATTTTAATACCTACCTTCAAAAATTATTATGTGTACTCACTTAAAAAATGCCTTGCAGTAAGCAGTGGAGAAATGTTTGATAAATAACAGCATAACTATTGTTAAAATAGGCCCCCTGGGCTGCAAAGAGCTCAGCGGTAGAGCCCTTTGCTTCACCATATGCAGGGCCCTGGGTTTAATCTACAGCAAACCCTCCCTAAAAAGGTTTTTATTACCTATTTTACTAATTTTGAAAATTTATGGCAAATATGTTTGCATGTGATGTACTTTGGGAATACTGGAAGTTTAGTTTAGTTCTTCAAAAGTAAGATCATGTTACGTATAGCTATATGACATATCAACTTCTGCGTCTCAGTGACATACAATGCTTAGTCTTACACTGAGAGTCCCATATCTCTGACTATCAAAGACACACATTTCCAAAGAGTTAAGCAAATTGGACACTCTTAAGAAAGCAGTGCGTTTTGGAAACAGTGAAATATTAAAGATAACTACTTCAAGAAAACAAAATAAATTTTCTCTGATGGACTTAAAAGATGAAAAAAAGTAAATCTAAATGAAACAAGAATTTAATGGAATCAGCACAACTAATGAGAAATGACACAAACTAAAGCACATGTTTTACAATTAAATCAGAATTTTGATCCATTTAAGATAGACCAAACCGTGGCAATGCTCAAAATAAGTTTAACTGACACAGACTAAATAGAAAGACGTTTAACCCAGGTACTAAATTATGTTTTATTAGGAGAGATCAATGCTTCATATATGTTTGGCTTTCCAAAGTGCTGACATACATGTCATTTTTATAGTTAAAACACATCGCCATCCCCTGCAAGCATACTGGTAAGGGGCACGTTCTCCATGACGCCTTATCAATTATTCTGTTTTGTAACCTAGTTGCGTTTTATATTTCACCATTGCACGTATCACCATCTACATCTAACACACTTCACTTATTTTCTTCTTCTCACTAAGATGGACACTGGAGTTTGGATCTGTTTTGTTTACTCCTTTATTCCCAAGAGTCTGGAACAGTGCTCAGCCTGAGCAATTCGCTGTGAACTAACAAATGAATCAATCAACCCAACCACTCATAAGAGGGAAGAAGCAGATATTGTTGTAGACTTACACTTTAAAAGGAGGAAGAGGCACAGAGATAGTTTTAAAATTTTTGTTAGAAATATGAAGAATGGCAAATGTGTTGTCTTTCTGAAACAAAATCTTTAGAAATTAATCATCTGTAAGGTTTTTTTTAGATATTAAATCACTCAGGAGAGACGTGGCAGTGGACTCATGTCTCTAGATGTTTACAACTGATAACAGATATTAACTCTCAATAAAAATAACTGACAAAGAAAAATCACATGGAAAAAACTTACTCAGCTGCAGTAAAAATGTGGGCAGAGTTAACACACACGGCATTGATAGGACTATCGTGACCCTTCATCTCTCCAACTGGCACACAAGTATCCATGTTCCAGAGTTTCAGAATGCCCCCTCTGCAGCCACTGAGCAACACTGGGTGGCCTGGCACCACTCCCAAGGCACAGATCCAGTCTTTATGTGCATTTGGAACTTGCTAAGAAAAAAAGAGAGAGAAAGAAATATTATCAGCTTCAGGGAAAAATTCCAAACCAGACATTCTTCATACCAAATTAAATTACATTTTCATTGATAAAATACAACATTTGTAATACTGAAGGCATAAAAATCATACGAGTTCATGTTCTACATAATAAATCAGTGATTTTAATAAGTAAAACTGTAATTTGCTTCTAATTTGCCTCATTAACTTTCATCGTTACCCACATTAAAAAGCATAAATGCTAAAAATCTATAGAATTGAAAATATTGGAAAGTATCCAAGATTTTTCAAATATCACATCATACTCAGGGGCAGTAAATACCTTGCCATTCTTGAGAACATATTTGATAAAATAAGTTTGAAAATACAACCTCAGATGTAGACTATGAGGACTGCCACATAAAATCATTGGTTTAAACTTTTACTGAAGAATATAGACAGCTTAAAGGTTTTGTTTTGTTTTGCCTTTGCAAAATATCACATGCAATCTATACATTTAATAATTAACAAGCAGTACTTACAGAGACCATCTAACTATACTTTATGTATGAATATATTTATACATACATATAATCACAACCATGAATGTATATCTATAAAAGAAAAGCTTTAAACACAGTATTTGTATCTGTTGCCAAGTTTTTTCTACTAATATGTATTCTACTTGTTCATTTTCAACTGCTGGTTACAAGTAGGAAAGTGGATGTGACTACAATGCAAACATATGTACACATTGTAAGTATAAGTGCAAGGAAAAGCTTGAAATTGTGAATGATTTTATCTGGTAATTAATCCCTTTCCCAGAGAGTTAGCAAAAGACATCGGTATTTAAATTTATTGACACAACACTTCAACTCAACTATCATTCTGTAGGAAATGTGCTACTACTGGTAGACATATGAAAATGCGCATATAGAAGAGGAAGCCTTTGCATTACTCTTGACTTCACTTAAACGTGATACTCTTTAGAACACACGTATATAAAATAAAAACAAAACAAAATGCAAAACTGCAACTACTCTCCAATGCTGATTTTATGTAAAAAACACATGTATTAGACAATCCCGGATCTTTCAACTCTCACCAATATCTGTTCTCCTCCTATCTAGTAGGTGTTGAAGGCTTCCTTTCTTCCAATTAGTAAGTCTTGGAGTTGATAAACCATAATTTAAGAGGAAGTCCTAGTTAATATTATCCTTAAACAATGAATATCTACATAGAAGTTCTTCAAGTCCCTATAGAAAATACTAAGTGGTTTTGAAATGTCTCTATGCTATAAAAGGTTTTGCATTACCTGAAGAAGGTCTTTTTGAGCTATGTCCCATTTCTTGATTCCATTATCTCTGGACCCACTGAACAGGCTATCCCCTTGGATAGTTAATGCTTCTATACCATCATAATGCGGGGGTTCAAAGTTATGCGTAGGACTTACAGTTCCAAGAGCCCCTTCAGTTACATCGAACATCTAACAGAACAAGAAGAAAGAGAACAGTTACCTCATTAAGTCTCAGATAAACACCTGTGTGCCCACACACATACTAGGTTGCGTTATCTGACAAGATTTGTTTTATTATAATTTGTTGTCATAATACTTAGCCTCCCTTCTTCGGTGGCTGCAGTGTGCTTACCTCTTTGCATGTCTATGATCTGATTCTAACTCCTCCTACCACTTTCACCAACTTAATTAACCTGAAGTGAACAACCCTGAGAATGAATCTCAGTCCTATTTCCCACCAATTTTGCTTGCATAGCAGGTACTTTCATATCTGCAAACTTTTAAGAGAGAGAATCAGATCTTTTCATGTCTGTCTACAGAAATAACAAGTGAAATAATAAAAAATATTATATCAGTCTAGTTAAAATTCAAATAAACAACATGATTATTACCCCTCACTGTTAAGACAGCTCTGCCATCCTGGAGGGCATCTCTAGTTTCCTAAAGCTGCCATTCAAAACTGGGTTACTCCTTTTAATTGCCCTCATTTCATCTGGCTGATGGCCTCATGTTTTCCTGATCCAAAGTAAATGTGTGGACACTTCACACTGAAAGTTTACCTTTACCTTCCAATTGCTAGCTGCCATCTTCAGAGGCTCATCTACACTTACTGCTTTGCAAGCTTCATGTCCAACCTGATTCTAACCTCTAGCCTTTCATCAACCACCTCCATTCTCTCATACCACACTTTCCTTTGCACTGAGACAGCCCATTTTCAAGCATATAAAGAGTTCAAGGCTTCTAAAGGTAAATCCTTCCCCTTACGCATGTTATTTTAAAGTCATTCATCTCTCCAAAAGTACTCAGGCTTTCATTATGTTACTATTGACTACCATGGGCATTTCCCCAAAAGTGTCCTCAAATCCTCTCTCCTTTGTCATCAAGTCTACTTCCTTGAACATCTGCTTCTCTTTGGATGCTACCAAACCTGCATCTCCTGTCACAGCTTCACTCAGACTCTGGATTTGCACTTCTGGCCTGCAGGTGTATATCCTCTGTTTCAGCCTCAAATGTAACATTTCTGGAATCAAATCATACATCCTTCCCCCACATTATCTGCTAATTTCAGCAATTCTAATGGCCATCATCTACTAAGTATAAAATGTCATGATGATGGTGATGGTGGTAATGGTGATGGTAATGAATTTTAACTATTCACTGGAAGACTAAAATAAAAGATCTTTAAATCCCTTCCTGCCTATCTCCTATGAAAAATGAGAATACATAATTAAATAATAGTAAAACCTGGACCGATAAATGAGTTAAATATTCAAAAGAAAAAGACTACAAGATGTAAAAAAGGAACAGATTAAAAAAAACAGTCCCAAATGAGTCTCAATGCTTCAAACCTATCACATAATAGGCAAATATCATGCAACAACTCCACAATACACACTCTGATGTAATGGTCCTTGGAGCCAGTGATGATCAGATCTTGTCCACTGGAAATCTGATCTACAGTAAGGCACATAACAGGGCCTAGATGTCCAGTTAACTTTCCTGTAGACTGAAACCTTCAAAAAGAAAGAAAAATGACTCTGTTTGAGAATTATTTTTTAGAATGATGGGGATAAGCCTTGACATAAAAGTAACCTCTATCCTTTCATAAAACTGTTCACTAATTTTCTTTTAGATTTCAGCTTCATTTCTATGAAACTCTATTCAAATTAGAGTTTTTAAAAAATGGCCAAACCAATATATTGCATGATGGAATTAAAAGGCCGTAAGTAAATTATTCCAAAACCAAGCTATTTCATGGAGGTAGTAAGGCAGCAAAATTCTGAACAAATGCTAACAGCTAAGATGGACTACCCCATGCAAACTTTAATGTTAAAGGTCCAAAATTGTAACAGATATATGACTAATATTTTTGATCTCTGTGTTTGAAGAAAGTAACAATATCACTGATTAACCACAAAGTCAGCAAAAACACAGAGAAAAGTTATTTTATCACACACATACACATTTTTACATATACATATATACAGTATGCACATCATACATATACATGTATGTGCTCATTTGTATGCATCAACCAGTGCACACACACATATATGTGTGTCTGTGTATCAAAACGTAGGTGACCCATTTCATCAATTATTACGAAGATAAGAAAATGACTAGGACAGATACCAGACTGGTGGAAAAATGTATGATGTCAATTATCAGACTATTTTACACTTCTACTTCAAATCAAGCTCAACTAAAGTGTAAAAAGCTCATACTTCATTGCAAATTAAAAAAAACAACAAAAAGACTTACATTTTGTCATTTTTTTTCTTTTTAACAACTTTATCTTTTCAATACCTCACAGTTTACATCTGTTTCATTATTTTGCATTCATGAAAACTGCAAGGATTTATATTCAGTTATTAAATTAATTTTATAAACTGAAAAGGTTGAGGCAAAAAGTGTTTAAATGATGTTAAAAAATAATTCTTTCAAAAATGAAACAGACAAAAATACATATTCACCTTTATCTAATAACACATTTGCAGACAACTATTAAGAGATTACAACACAAATAGTTTCTGTATTTCCTGCATATTTTTTATTAGCAATGAAAATGAAAAGAAGGGAATATTGTGAGTTTGTTAATAAGGACAGAAAAGACATTTAGGGTGGTTGTGCTAGACAGAAAACCAATGAATTTACATCACCTTCTGAGACTGTAAAATTATATTCCATAGGAATACTATGTTAGCAATATCTGAGGTTGTATTGGTGATATGCAAGAGCTTTGCTTTCTTAAAGGTTCTACCTTTTAAGATCCCACATTCTGACAGCATTTCCAGAAGCTGCGTAGAGGAATGTGCCTGTGGGGTTGAGCGCAATTTGATTGATTTGGTTCTCTCCAGAAGGAATAGCTACAACCCGGTTTGTACTTGCAGAACAGACATCTCCAAGATTAACTTGACCGGAAGACCTTCAAGGACAGAAAGCAAAGCAAACAAGTCCATTTCCATACAGGAATCAGTCTTACAATGTCTTGAATTCCTAAGAATCTGGCCTATAGGCAACAAGAAGAACTTTGTCTGTCGCCATATATACAGTGCACGTAGTTGGTACATATGTCTGCTGACTAAGGGAATAAAGAGGATGACATGGTTTAAAACTCTTAATCTGATGCCTATTACAACACTAGAATTTCTAGACCCTGAGTTAGCAATGACTAAAGTACTGTAAAAAAAAGATTAGCTATAAAAAATAAAAACTTAACAAGTGATAAATTCCATAAAAGTAATTCACATTCCTACAGGTTTCACAAATTCTCTATAGACTGGGCTTACCAAATTCCTTCGGTGTATGAAAATTCCCTTTTTGGATTACAAGTATTGGGGACTTTTAAAGTTATTTGCAGTTTTTCTTCAACAAAATTACAGATGAGTATCCACTATGTGTTAAAGTCTTAATCATAGCTTATTTCTAATTCCTCAGATAGATCCTAGATGGTATTTTAAGCCATTTTTAAATATCTTCTCAGCCAACTTCTAAAATATTGTTATAACCAATCTCTTCAAATTTGATTCTAGTGATTCACCTGGATTGGTAAATTTCTAATTTAATAACTACTGTTCTTTTTCTACAAAACTCCTCTCAAAAGACATATTCAGTATGGAAAATAATTTGTATTTCTCAAGTTATAAATTACTTAAAATTAATACTCTACTATATGTACTATACAAATTAGTAAAAGTTAACCTTTTCAATTCTCTCAGCCCTCATTTAATCATTTACAGAAGTCACTCAATTTCAATTATATAAAATGATTCTCCAATCTCATGGTAAGAAAAATTATTGTTTTAGATTTTCAAATGTGTTTATAACAGACACCAAACAAAAACTTCATTCTCCAAATTGTCTAACAAAATTTACAATTACGAAATTGTACCAACCTCAGAGTAGTCTCAGACCCTAAAATTATACTCAGTCATTCAATACCTCTTAATTAAAGGTTATGAGTATTTCTTACAATAGTAATTATAGTCATTTTACAAGGTTTGTATTTATATGACACAAGTAATATAAACCACTTACTTCCATCAAATAGTAAATGCTATGAAAATGTAATATTTTAGTATAATATAATGCTTTGTATGTAATTTTTTTGAGAGAAAGAAAACAAGAAATATGTACTTCACAGAAACCAAATACAGTTAATCTCTTCCTGTTTATACTGAACGCTTACTGTGTCAATCTGGGAGGTTTTTTTCCTTATTTTATCTGAGTTTTATTATTCTGACCACTTGTAATAATCTCTAAGGAGTGGATATATATTTAAATATTGTAATGCACCCACAGCTCTATATTTTCTTGTGCTTTGTAATACATATATTTAACCCTTGTGCTATTAAAGTTACTTACGTCAGTGTTCGAATGCACTTTGCTGAATCTCTGATATCCCACACCTTAATATAAGATGTTGACACCGTGAAGACCAAACTTGTGTAATTACAGTATTTGACAGACACGACATTGTTGGGATGACCCCCCAAGGACATGATTTCCTGCCCAGTCACTAGATTCCATATTTTACAAGTACGATCTAAAACAGACGAATAAAAACAGAATAAATACTATTAATATGAACTACTTTGGATTCTCTTAACAGTAAAAAGTATTTAAGCAATTTCTCTTCTCTGACAAGGAAATGAGAGTTGAATAGTAATTATTCATTAACATGTATCAAGCTTCTTTGTCCTTGAGACTCTGCAGCAGGTTTATAAGCAAGGTAAAAGATAGGATGAAAATCACGGGTGTCTGGTGTATGCATTATGTGTTGTTAAAAATACAGTTGTGACAATTTTTGAAATAATCATATTGAAAGAGATTTGCCTCAAATTGCCCTGAATGTAAAATGTCCATCTAGAGTCAACTTTTTCAAAATACTGTATTCTGTTTTGATTATTCCTCTACCTCTTCACAACCCACTTTTACAAACACACATAACTTTTTCTCTAAAGGCACTGATGGATTTTATTTTTATGTTAACCCAAAAACATAATCACAAAACTTTCCTATTTTGTTTTTCTGACATGTTGAGAATCTAAGTACTCGGGAAAGACAAATCCAAGTCACCAGAACAGTATATTTTCATGGAAGAGTTTTTTTGCGTTGGGGGAATTTCTTGTCATTCTCAAAGTTCTAGCTAGTTTTTCATAGAAAAGCATCAGATGTTTGCTGATTCAACTGAATCTTGCAATATCACTAAATTCTAAAACTTTTCACTAGCTCCTTAAATTCTGGGCATGCTTCCTTTCTATGACTCTAACCTTCTTATTCAAAACTTCTCTTGCTTGTATTCTCCTTTCAACCCCGTTGGACTCCATTTCCAAACATACCCTACTTTTACTTTCAGTTCTGCTAGCTTTATTCTGTCCTCCTGAACATCAATTCTTAGAAATCAATATCCAAATCATCCTATAAAGTTCATCCTAAATGCCTCATGGTCAAAGCTGTCCATGGTTCTTAAAACTATGCATAATCCTCCCTTTTCCAAACCCCAAGACCTATATTTTAGAACTCTTCGAAGTTGTTTATAGTTGATTTCTAGTTGCTTGCAGTTATACCAAAAGAGTTAAAAGTGCAGGACTGGAAATGAGTGGGCCAAGGTTTCTAATCCTAGTTTTTCTACTTAGTAGCTAAATTTACTTTAGCAAATTATTTTCTTGAATCTTGAGTTTCCTCACAATTATCATGAGGACACTCACTGAAGTTGTTGTAACTCATTGAAGTTGTTGTGGAAATTAAAGGAGGTATATTTGTACATTTGTACAAAGTCTCTCATGTAGTATAGAAATGGTGCTTGCTACTGTCTTATTCTTTGTAGCAGTGTATATGGCCTTTTATACATCTGTATATTACCCTGCATTATAAAATCCAGACTCATTCAGGAAGTGCCCAAACTCTGAAGAAAATGCATTCTCTCACCACTGTATTCACGAAATATCAATAAGGTTTTTTAAAAAATTTCTTCCTAAATATGCATTGGTTTTATATTTTATAAAATTCAGGGGATGAATCAGTGAACAGATTGTTAAATAGTCTGACTTTTTTAGAGCCTGTCAAAAAGTTAACCTTAACACAACTATTAAATATCAGCCTTATAGTTACTAGTACCTTTTGATCCAGTGAAGAGAAGATCATCAGTAGAATCCACACACAGCACAGCTTTTGTGTGCCCTTCGGCTATGTGAACACACTGCAGTGGAGCCACTCTGATGCCTTTTGAAGCAGGAAATGGGTTGATTATGCCCCTGAGATGTGGAAACAAACAAACCAATCAAGACTCATTTCCATGGCTCTATCCTGAGAATAGATTTATTTTCCCTCTGATTTTAGAAAGCTTTTATAAGTAATTAGTAATAAAAGCTAGACCAATCTTTTGGTGCTTTTTTTAAGCTGAAGAGTGAAGAACAGAAGTGAAGTGTAAAACAGTTTAACAGCAGTGATGGTGCCCCGGTCACCACAACTAATGATACACCTGCCTGCAGCCACCTTCTGCAAAGGACAGCTCATGTAGACTGGGGTTTTCTCATGAACAGTTTCAGCTCTTCAGAGTTACAGAAGCAGTATTTGCAGCTGCTTGGTGTATTGAATTCTGGAAAATTTAGGAAGAAGTAGAAAAGATGAGTGACTGGAAGATATGGCTGTATGGCATGGGGAGTATAAGTCTATGTCGAAAAGAACAGGCTGGAAAGGAGAAACACAGCTGCTGTCACCACAGAAAGTAGTATACAAGCAAAACTGAAGAAGACAAGATTAGAATTACTGCATGGGCAGAAACTTGAAAGGATTATTCAAAAAGATAAGAAACTTACTAGAAAAATCTAATCTCAAAGAAGTTTTAAAACTGAAAAAATTTTTTTAAAAACAAATTTTGTAGGGAACTTTCTCATAAACAGTATTTCTGGAATTTCTGCCTTATGGCATAGGCTACGTATTATGGGGATATGAATATTATCAAAAGATTATTCCTTTCCTAAAGAAGCTTACTATAGGTCTAAGTTAAAGTAATTGTATTAAGAAGGCTAAAGATGAAAAGAAATTAAGATATGGTAAACCTACAACTTACAAGAAGAAAAATTATGCTGAAATATGTCCATATGAGGCAGATGGTGTAATACCAGTACAAACCAGAGATAAAGTTGCTGTGTTTCCATCTTCGTGGTAAAAGAGAAAAATCTTCAGAAGAAAGGGTTCAGGACAAAATAGAAGACCACATTAAGAAGCACAGAGCTAAAACAAACGTCTGGAGAATGAGCGGAGGGGCATAAACATGACCAAGATGTGATACGGATACATATCAAACCCCAGGCTGAATATGCTCACTATCTACGGTAAATATACTAACAAAAACAGAGGCAAGGTCGGAGATGATTAAGAACAAATACAGGTCCAAGGCAAATGAGCTGTGACAGTGGAGCCTTACTCAGTGAGCTCAATCATTTTATTTAAATTACAGTGTTATGGGGTTTTGAAAAGTCTCAACATTCTAGAGGAAAAAATCATGGTCAGCACTCTAAGAAGTCACTAAGATCAACAAAGGGAGCAAAATGCATAGACCTGATTTTCTAAGAAGCAGGAAATAAAGTTGATTTTACAACTGATGGATAAAACTTGTTGATTCTGACAGAGAAAGGTAATAAATACTTCAAAATATATACTCAGGGGGATGTGGCTTGGTGGTAGAGTGCTTACCTAGCATGCATGAGCCTGGGTTCAATCCCCAGTACCATGCCAAAAACATAATTTAAAAAGAATGTCTATCAATAAAAGAAAACAGAAGCTCAAAAATCTCATGAGAAAAGATTTTATAGGGTTAAAAGGCTGTGAATTAGGGAAATGCCACAGTTACAATATATGTCAACTTTACTAAAACCTATATGATAAACTTTTAAGTGAGACACTTGAGGAAAAGGTAAGCAGGGCACTGCTGTAGTAAAAACAAGTACAAAGGTAAGTGAGGGTCACATCTAAGGAAGGAGTCAGTGTGTCACTGTCAACCTGGAAAATCTGCTGGGTCTAGTCAATCTTTCCCTAAATTGATGTATTAAAAGGATATGTGAAAAAACTGAATAATATACTATGTTGATGGGAAAAAAATTACTGAAAAAATTCATTTGCTTTATGTAACTTACTAAGCACTCAAATAATCATCAGATAAAATTTAAAATTGAAAATTTTAATCAAAGATAGAACAGAATGCTCCAAGTAGGAGACAGAATCAATAGTGGCCTAAGTCAAAAAAAAAAAATGAAAAGGGCTTTATTGCTGAATACAAGATCAAAGGATTAACAGTTTATGGTTCCTCCATCAACACTGCATTTCATTCAACCTGTTCAGCTGTAATGGACCTACTGTACTTGCTTCAAGACACATTTCAAATAGGGATTAGTTCCAGATGCAATATTCTAAGAAACACAGTGAAAACCTGGAGCCTTTCAAAACTGTAGAGGCAGAAGGCCTTTATTACTTACAGAAAGACATAAAACTAAAACTATTAAGCTGAGAAAAGAATATTCATCAGAGAAAGGACACACTAGCATTATGAAAAGGATAAATATTTAAAGGGCTATCACATACTGACAAAAAAGAGATATCTGATTAAATACAGTATATATGAAGAGACTGAGCAAAGACTAATGCATGTATAGTTAAAGTAAATTTTTTTCTTTCGTCTTTTTTTGAGACAGAATTTCACTACACAGTTCAGGCTGGCAGTGAAATCACTTTGTAGCCATGGCTAGCTTTGAACTTTCAGCAGTCCTCCTGCCTCAGCCTCCCAAGTGCTGGGATTACAAGCATGTGCCACCACACGTGGTGTGAAGAAAGTAAATTTAAAGAGTACCTTTAAAAATTTCAATTTTAAGGTCTAGTGATAATGATTTAAAGAAAGGGCTGTGCTCAGCCAGCGGCATAAGGGCCTGCTTGGCAAGCACAAGGTCGTGAGTTCAATCCCTGGTAACAAAAAAAAAAAAGGTGAAAAGAATTTCTCATCACTTGCAAAGCTCCCAGGAATTGTCATTTCTGAATATATAATTATGAAGTTCAAGGTTACTGTCTGCACACGTTTACTTCAGATTCTTAAAATTAATGTGACTTCTTTATAATTTAACAATTGAATAGGACTAAAGCTGAAATGGCAGCAAACTCCCTCAAAAATTTGAATCTGTTCTTTTGAAATCTTGAGGTAAGGTTCATAGTTGCAAAGTGCAGCCATCAAGTTTACAAATATTGCTTCAAAAACTGAAGTGGTATGATTCTAACAAAGAGTAAAGTTCTACTATTACCTCTCAAATAGCAAATATATACACAGGTATACCCTTCAAGAGGTGTTTATAAACAAGGAGGCATAGGAGCTAATTTATTTATCAAGAAATAACCTTTGGGGTTAATTTCACAACAAAATTTATATTAGCAGGCTAAGAGCTGTTTTGATACGTGTTTAATGATATAAATTGCACTATTAAAAATTACTCCCAGTCTTCTGAAGAAAAATGATCAATATTAAAAATAGTCTTTTATTCATTATAAACTTAACTTCAAATATTCAGAAAATTAGGATTGATATTTTCTATAATTACCCTAGGTCAAAAGTAGTAGAAAAGAGCCAGATGTAGTGGAACATCCCTATAATCCCAATACTGTGGGAAGCTGAGGCAGGAGGATTACAAGTTTGAGCCCAACCTGGGCAATTTAACAGGACTTTGTGACAAAAAAAAAAATGTATTATTAAAAGAGGAGTGGGATGTGGCCCAGTGCAAAGGCCACTGATTTAATCCCCAATACTCCTTCTCTTCCTCCTTCTCCTCTTTCTCCTACTACTACCATCACTGATAAGAGAAAAACATAGACACTGGGAGGATATATCTACAGTATTTCATTCTCTACCAAAATTAATCCATTTGTATTCTGAAATATAAAAATGCACTTGAAAGTAGTTTAAGTTAAAAATAAGTACTGGAAATTTGAACGGACTGATTGGAAGAAGGAAAGAATGCCACTCAGTAAAGCACTGTACTCCGATGAATAGGATTAATTTCTCTACCTCCCCTGCCTACCTTTTGGAAGATGTTATGGTTTGCATATAGATGTATCCCTAAAGCCTTATGTGCACAGTTTTTTGGAGACAGCTGAACCTAGAGTGTGTGATTGATTCATGGTGCAATGCTGGGATGAAGCGTGAGTGAGTGCCGGCTGATCGGACTGATGGCGCCCTAATCCCCGCAGACTAGATACCATATAGGGACAGAAAGAGGCTTGTCTTGTGCCTTTCTTGTTGCTTTTTCTGTCTCTCATTGCTTTTGCTGTCTCAGCTGTTGCTTTTGCTAATTTCTACTGCTATGAACTATTTCCTCTGTGCCATATGCCACCTTGCCTTGGAGCCAGTCGATTATGGACTGCAACTTCCACAAACTGTGAGCTAAATAAACCTTCCCCACTTTAATTCTGGGTGACTTGTACTTTGTCTCAGGAATCAGAGAAATTTAACTAAGACAGAACATCTGCTCATGATCAGCAAATTGACAATGAAACAAGAAAAACAAGTGAAAAAAGAGGAGGATACAGAAGGATACATGGGGAGAAGAAATGAGAGAGAACGCAATTAAGGACCCTCTCAAAATCTATGATATGAAAAATTATAAGACTTATTTTAAAAACTGTACTAGTAAAAATTTTTGGATGACAAACTTCTTCAGTTTATACTTTTTCTATTTTTTAGTATGATAGTGTCCTTTTTACAGTATACCATTATCACATGATTTTTTTTACTTAAAATTTCTAAACCAACAAGAAAAAATGCCTTACATACCTCCCACACTTAGAGGTAACTGAAATACTTAATCACTATGGAGCAAGCCTCACTGATATCAACATTCAGAAAGCTTGATTATTTTTAAAGAAAACATTTAGACTACAGACATTCTTAGGCTATGACACAGTTTGCCACTACTTTATCTATACAGTACCATCACAAAAATACATTAAAATTAATGTTTTGAACTATTAGTGCATTTACATGGCTTATAACAAATAAAGCATGCAATAAAGTGAAACATGCTCAGAATTTCTAAGAAGGCATTTTGGAACAACCACGAGATGCCAGAAGGTAGGAAGATACGAAGAAAGTACCTGTGTACTTCCGACAGAGAAGAGTCACTTTCATCAGACCTATAGCGAAAGAGTTAGAATTATGAGAAAGGATACAGATGTCAACAGCTAAAGACAAGGACAAGGACTGAAAACCAACAGCATGAGTAACAGAAAGGCAGCATATACCTCCTTCAGGGTGCCCTGCTCTGTGACTGCCACTGAATATCAGCAAGTTTAGAATAACTACATTGGAAAATAAATTTGACTCATGTATTCTACCACAATTTAGGGGGCAAAGCTTTCCGTCTATTACTGACCCACCCCATTTACTGTATCCTCCTCACTTCTAAACTCTAGGTCCTGGAGAGTAATAATACCAAGACCAAGAAATATATCACTTAATGTGACTTAAATTTCAGGAAAAATTCTCATCTCATTTGTGGATTTAATTCACTTGGTAATTATTACTGAAGATTTAGGCTCTATTGTTGAAGTTTTATAAATACATTGTATATTTACATGGAAAGTAAATCATTTAAAATCTTAATAAGCCTTGGTTTAACTCTGCAGAGAGCCCTCAGTGGGCTTTTAAAATTTAGGCAAGAGGCTCGTATTAATGCCCTTGGCTGTGAGTCTGATCATGACAAGTTCTATTTAGCATGTATAAGAGGCTGGGGGAGGAGAGTGCTGGCCTGGGACGTGAGCAGTAGAGGGGTGGTACAGGGCAGACTCAAAAAGGAGTTCCAAAGCAAGTGACCCCAAAGATGGCAGTTTTTGAAAGTATTAAGTCAAATAAGTTTTAACTTAGAGACAGGACAACAGAGGTAAGTTATTAGTAGTTCATGAAATATGTCAGTAAAATTATGAAACTGTGACAAGTTTGTCAAGGTTACCAAAAACTGACAGAAAATTCTGTTAACTCCTGTTTACACCTGGTATATGAATTATTACAAAATTTCTTGATATAACTAGTGAAAATGGATTTTCCAAAAAATATTTTTAATGTTCTATTTTTCTGACTTAATGAGAGAAATGATTAAACAATATTAAAACTTTTTATTTAATGACATGCAAAAATATTTACCATTGTAGATCAACTTGAAGGCCATGCCATCTACTGATTAAATTATATTAATGCCTAATAAACAATATATAAAAGAATCGATCCATACATGTCACTTCAAAATGTTAGTGTGTTTAAGTTTATAGGGCTTAGCACAGTCTAAACATGCCAGAGAGATCTTAAATGGCATTTTTAAAAAGAAAACTTCAGAAGCCTTTGATATATACAGGGAGAAAATCGCACAGAAAACAAACAGGCCTGGGAAAGTAGCTCAGTGGGAGGTGCTTGTCTAGTATGCCTAAGGACCCCAGTACTGCAAACAAACAAGCAAACAAAAAAGAAATGGGGTGGGGAGCATGGCCATCAGGCACACACAGTCACATATCAGTATTCAAAATCCAGCTAGAGTTAATAAATACCTTGTGATACTGTTAGTACTGAATTCTTGCAAGAGAGATTCTGGCTCAGTGCGGGGCATTTTTAACATCTAATTTAATGAAAATTGCATTTCCCACATCCCTCCAACCTCTCCTGCCCTACAGCCTCCTCCTAGGCCCACCTCCTCCAACTATAAAAGTGTTCTTTTTTCCAAGAACACCGTTATTGCTTTCATGGTATATTTTTCTAGGAAAAAAAAGTCAAATAATAACACCTAAAAGTATAAAAATTTGTCTCTATTCAACTCAAGCTATCAAGAACAAAAGGTTCATAAAAGCTGAAGAATTTCACAAAATTTAAACTTCAAGTGGTCTCAAAGTGTTTCAGCTCTATTTTCCTTGCAAAAGAAATGGTAAGACAAGTGGTAAAAGTACAGCAGTGCAAATCTGTAACAGGGAACAATGTTCAGCAGGCAAATAATTTTCTCGCATTTGGGCTATGTGGTTCCTTTCCATTAGAAAAATGCATCAGATATGGAATGTGCACACACATCAGACTCCATCTCCCACACCGAGACGACGGCATCAAAAGGTTCACAATGTTCTGGAAACAGCTGGAACTCTTTCCCGTAGTGACTTACTTATCCTGCTGAACTGATGTGTTTCCCTGAGAAACAGTAAGACGATTAAAGACATTCAGTTCATTACGGGGCCGGCTTGGTGGGGAAGAAGGAGGTGAGAGACTAGCCTCTGAGGTTCCAGAATCTGAGCTACAAGAAAAAAGAACATTAAACAGGTGGCTTTAGTTAGTTACATTTTGTTAGGCAGGTTATAGGAAACATGCAGTTTTTCATTAGCAAATTCCTGCATTTCATCCTTTCTTTTTTTGTAAGACAAAATGCTCTCTGAACAATTTCATTTCAAAGGTTTCCCAGTGGAGTTTGTTACACTGGCCACAAGATAGCACTAAAGAAAAATTCTGTCTAATGAAATTGGAAGGACAACAGTAAAGCAAGCCAAATTTTAAACTACACAAACTTCAGACTTAAGACCAAATTGCTCAGCTTACAGATACAAAAACAAACTCAGCGCTTGAGAGCAATTTGCATGTTCTGTTGATTCATTCATTTTATAAAAGGTATTTGCTCCATTCTCCCATTTTCCAATTATTCTTGAAGCATTCAGATACAGGCAATTGAATCTTTAAAAATAGAGAAAGCCAGGATGACAAGAAGGATCATTCCTATGACATTCAAGTCAGCTAAATCAGTGGTCAAAGTAGTGTGTGCTCTTTGGCACAGGGGATGTGGTGGTAAGATTGTCCACTTAGGTACAGAAAATATATCAGCACTTCTTATATTTATTTTTATGTTAACGAAATTAAAGAAGTCGTCTTAACAATATTTACACATAGACTGAAATAGATGCTGTACTTCGCACACATGTCTAAACTCTCCTGTCACATGCGACATGCTGGGTCATCTAAAAAGAAGCAATATTTTAACATAGTCACTCTCATCCATGAGACTTCTGCATACCGCTGGGTTTCAGTTTCTAAATGCCAAGTTAGGTGGATCATTAGATCATATTATGTACTGATAATCACACTAAGCCTCACAAAAGAATTAACTGAGGATAATATCAACAATCCAAACTTACAGCAAGAAAATGATACAACTAACACACCCCCATGATTAATACTAGCTTTTTTGTCCACTGAAGAGGTAGTCAATGTCAGATGGCACTCCAAATTAATTTCAAGTTTCTGTAGAAGACAGTTTGAAATGTAAATTTAATAAGCTTCAGTCCAAGTACATATTCACTGCCTCAATGACATAGAAAAATAACTGAAAAGTAAGTTAGCGGACATTCACAAGAGTAACTACTCAAATCCATCAACAGGCATGGGTGACCAGAAAGTCAGAAGGCCAAGCTGATGGCTGACTTGATTGTCCTGATCAGTCACATCAGTCATAAACAGAGCCAAGCAACCTGCAAATTAAATTCACCACTGTTCTAAGCGTCCCGTGCAGCAGACACCTTCTACAGCTCGGTAGATGAAGGCATTCGTTACTCACTGTTTTTGTTCCTTGGCCTTTGATTTCTCTGCTTTCTCGTAGGCCTTTCTCCTACTTACAGGGGAAGGCTCTGGTATTTTTTTTTCTGGTAGAGATGATTGTCTGGAACTAAAATAGGAAAAGATTCCTTAATTGCCCTTATATTAAGATATATGTGTAAGTAGGGTAGTCAATCTAGAATTTTAATAGGTTAATAACTGAAATGAGAAAGATTATTTAAGAATAAAAATAAAGCTAAAATAGGAAAATATTATGAGTTAATTTCAGTTGATAGAAGCTTGATAACTATATTTAATATAAATTTTTTAGTAATTTGAGAAAGAAGTAACTTGAGAAAGATTATTACTGAGGGCCAAACAAGAAAACTAGGATAGAAAAACATTGCATAAGTCATTTTTATTTGATACAAACTTGATAGATGTTTTTTAATTGGCAGTTCTATTAACGATGCACAAACCTATTATCTCTGAATGTAAACATCAATACTACACTGAAAAATAACTAATATTTTATTTGAAGTAATTAAATGATAAAGTTTAATGGAAAATTGTTTCAATTAAAGAAAATTTATTTTATAAAAGTTTACAGGAACAAAAATATTAGGATATCAAAATACAAGAAACAATGAGATTCAATACATTATTTAAATATAGTAAAAAAAAGTCATACAGGTAATCACACACAAATATGACAAAATCATTCTGCAGAACTATTATTTAGGTAATAATTAGTAGATATGTATATTTGGCCTTGTAAGCTTAAAATGTTGAATGACTACTATATAATTAAAAATTCAGAAATATGATTTTTGTATATGATTTTAATGAGTTTTAACTCCAAAAAAATATATCTTTACCATTCCTGGCTAGTTACAATCATAAAGAAAAAAAAAAAAAAAGAAAAGAAATTAGAAACAAAGACTTCCAGAATGGCTCTACATGACTCGCATTTAGAAGTGGAAATCAGCCAGGCCTGGTGGCACATGCCTCTAATCTCAGCATTCTGGGAAGCTGAGACAGGAGGTCTGAGAGCTCCAGCTCAGTCTGGCAGTTTAGTGACTTAGCCAGACCTTATCTCACAACAAAGAATAAAAAAAGGCTGGGATGTGTAGCTCAGTGTAACAGCCCTTAGTTCAATACCCAATGCTGAAACAAATGAACAAAAAAAAAAAAAAAAAAAAAGTGAAAACTAAACACAGGTAAACTTCAGATGCCTAGTATCTCTAATCAGAAGGAGTCACATTTTAGAAATCCTGCATCGTGTAAACCATAAGATTACCAAAATAATTTTACTTTATGAATAAATCCTGTGCAGTAATGGTTTATAAGAATTATAGCATTAAGCACATGGAGTCAACTCTTAAAACTGCAAGTATCTCTGGGTGTGACGGTGCACACCTGAAATCCCAACACTCAGAAGGCTGAGGCAGGAAGATCATGGCAAGTTCAAGGCCAGCCTGAGTTATATAATCAATTTCTGTGTCAAAAAAGACAGAAAGATCAAAAAAAATTTAAAGAATAATCTCCTGAATTTACGAAAACCTGTCACAAACAATATATATTTTTAGATGAAAAAAAGAGAATAAAACAAAACAAACAAAAAAACAGAATTACCTGAATCTGGATTCCAGTCACAGATTTAGTCTTGAAGTTCCAAACTCCCTGTTCATCTGATTGACTAAATGCTGAGCACATGCAAGTTTCCAAAATCTATCCTCAGTTCAATATCACTATTTTCACTAAACGGATTTCTTCTACTCTCATTTTACCACAAGAACAATGAAGCCATACACACTGGTTAGCAGTATTGTATAGTTAATTATAAAAGCCATGTCAAGCGCATGCAAGAAAACTGTCTTCATTAAAATTAATTTTGGAAACTAAGAAGGCAGATGGCATTACTGAATCGAAAATAATGGAAATGTCTTCATAAGAAGAAGAATATTATAGGAAACAGTTATTCCAGGGTGCAAACTTTGTTAGTTTTGTATTATTTTCAGAGTCTTACACAATACATGCCACTTTTGTGGAAAATATTCCTCAACTCAGAGATATATGCATTTCAATAAACCACTTGCTAGATTGCATGGGAGATTTAATTTGAAAAATGTTATTTAAAAAGTTTACAGGTGAATGATCTAATTTTACCATAACTGTAACCAAAATATAATTTGGTTAATACATTTAACATAATTTTAAACAACACACACATGCACACAAGGTATGCATTTACTAGCCCATGTAGGAAAATCTTTCTTTGTTCTCAAAATAATAATGAAAAACTATTTAAGCAAGATCTGTTTTAAATAGAAAGTTTCTTGCTCAGAACGTCAGATGGGAGAAAGGATATTCCTTCCTTCAAATCTTTAATAATCCCTATGAAAATATTTAGTGCAACTACTTAGTCATACAATTTGCTTCAAGGTTAAGAATTAGAAACACCCAAAATGTATTAATTTTGTAAATGTTCTTTTTTCTTCAAAGGGGTCAACAAAGAAAGAACTAGGATATAGGTAATTTAAATCAAATCTGAGTTGCCAACCTTCTGTTCATATAAATTATAACTTGAACTATTTCAGGTGTCCCTAAATAAGTTTTGCCTGTAATTCATATTTCGGCCTTCACGCAAATTACAGTTCTAAGGATGATCCTCAAACCTGGAGAAAAAACAAAGCAACTCAACAAAGAATATCTCACCTTACACTATTTTGACAGTCAAAAAAATTAGGGGAGATAATACCTAACAGATACTATTTTGAAAATGAGAGATCTTTCTTACATAAATATTTTTAAAAATAGAAATAAGAAACGAGCCACATGCATATTTTTTAAAAAGCCAAAAGAAAGAAAGTTAGTGTAGCTGGTCCAGACTTACATGCTGCCTATCTTAGAAGGTAAGCCAGATGGGGGAGGAAGCTCTTTGTCCCTAGCAGCAGTGCCACTGGTCTCTGCATTCATTCCAATCTCTTGCCCCTCTGCAGCAGGGATGAGAGCACCAGACAAGGAGGCATCTCCTGTACTAGTGTCTGGCGCTAGTTCACTGCTGTCTGCATACAGCAATTCCATCTGAGTGGTGGTTCTCCTCCGAGCCTAGTCAGAGAATGGAGAAAAAGCGATCAGAAGCAAACTTCTGGATGGAACTTAATTAGGAGACAGAGATTTGTATTAGTTTGAAACAGGTTAACAACATCTAGCGTGTCTTTCTCCAACAGATACATCAAACAGAGCATGTGAGACACTGATGAGCCAGAAAAGCCCTTTGGAGCCCACAAGGACCCCAAATGGGCACCATCTGTATGTGCTGGGCAAAGGACTACACACTGCATTACAGTGGTGTGGAGGCAGGTGGTGCCATTATGCCAGTTCACAAATGAGGAAACTAAAGCAGAGGGAAGCTAAATAGTTTGCCCAAGGTCATAAAGACAGTAAGCAGCAAAGCCAAAATAAAAGCTAGACAATTTTCCTCCATCGCCTCTATACAATCATGCCACAAGTGGCTACTACTTTGATATATTTTTAAAACGAGAAAAGGGGGGAAAAAGCAGAAGGAAGAATTTTTCTGACAAATTCTGATTTTTCTCTTGTTAAAATACTTTTTTTTGGGGGGGGGCGGGTTTTACAGGGAATTGAATTCAGGACCTCACACTTGCCAGGCAGGTGCTGTGTCACTGAGGTATATCCCTAGCTTCAAAGCTTTTTATGCTAAATTTTCAATTTTTTTTTTAATTTTGACAACCTATTGTCTTATCTTTAATCTGCCCACTGGATAATTCAATCCCAATCTGCACCAATTTACAGTAGTACAATGAGGCTAATAGTTATTTTCTTAGAAATCAAATTCACTGAAGTATTCTCTGCTTCCTCTTGAAAACCAAGTGAACACATCATCAATGAATGTGATCACAAGCCTCCAGAGGCTGGGCACGTTGTTTTATTAAAATGTATGTTCCCTGTGTCTAACACAATACCAGTGTAGATCTATTTCAAATATACACTCAACTTTGTTTCTTTAATGAGTGAAAAAGAAATCACATGAGATCTTAGCAGCATCTCTGCTGCTAAGTAGCAGGTAGAAGAAGTAGCAGGTAGCATTTCAGAACACTTTTGGAAAGAAAGTGCCCTTATAGCACTACTCTCCAGAGTCAAGGTTCTAGGACAAAAAGGAATTTATTCTTAGGAATCCCTAAATAGGGGTTCTTTCAGGAAATGACCTTCAGGTCACCACTTTGTATGTCTCTCTGACATCTTGCATGGGCATGACTAACTAGGCTTGGGCAGGGCCTAAAAAATTAAAAAGTACCTTAAGAAATTCCCTTCTCTGCTTAGGACTGGAGCTAAACCTTACCAGAACATTTTCTTTGAGGTTTCATAACCTGCTCAGTCACTCAGGACAGTGAAACACAAGGTTGCCAAGCCAAAGCTCAAAGACAACACAAAAAGAGCCTGGAGATGATGGGGGGAGGGGGTAGTAACTAGGAACTGAACTCAGGATCTCAGGCTTGTCAGGCAGTTTTGTGCCAGTGAGCTAAATCCCTGGTCCCTGGAGATGATTTTTCATTAGCTTTCCCAGTGTTTAAAACATAAGGGAATATTATGTAAGAATCCATTTATAAAATTTCTCTTGAAAAAACAAAGGATCTGGCTAGCCTTAGGCTCCTGTTTCAATAAGTCAAAAATGAGCAAGAATTTGTGATGGCTATTTGCTTTAGAAGGGACATGTACTCTGTAGGTAATCATACGATTGTCACACCACTACCGCCTACTCACGATTTCACATCCAGGCCAGACAAGTAGTATTCTTTCAAATCATTCAATAAATATTTACTAAAAACTGTAAGAATTCCTAGTTATCAAATATCTGAAGATCATTAGTTAATTTATCTGGTATCAACTGCAACCATACTCAATATGAAGTATTCCGTATGTGTCCTGGAAATTTAACAGCAGGCATCTTTACATATATATATATATATATATATATATATATATATATATATATTGTTTTGTTTTGTTTTTAAACATCGGTACTGGGGATCAAACTCACGACTGCCTGCTTGCAAGACAGGTTCTTATGCTGCTGAGCTAAACCCCCAGCCCCTATACTAATATATTTTTAAAACCCTACAAAAGAGCTGGCACATACCTGTAATCCCAGCACTCAGCAGGCTGAGACAGGAGGATGGCTGCAAGTTCAAGGCTAGCCAGGGCTACATAATTACAGAGTGAGACCCTGTCTCAAAAAACAAATCAAAACCTACAAATATGCATAACATCCTCCTTTTAGCATGTAAATTACGAATCAGTTTATTATTCAAACAACCTCAGAACACTAGTTAAACAAAATAAATACTTAAGAACATAAAAGAATGCTAAATTTCAAGCCTGCTACAAATTTCCTAATTTCTACTGTATGCTACAATGTGTCTGCCAGTCACCTAAGAATTGGCTTTTGTAATCACATTATATCCAGCAAGAAAAGTGCAAGAATACAGAAAATTGCAAGTTCCAACAAGAGTCTACAAAAAACTTTCTTCAATAATTAAAGAGGAATAGGAAAAAAGTAAATTTTTTACAAATGAAACACTTTTGGAAAAAATATGCCCACTTGTTAGTGTATTAAGAGCCAAATCTGAGGCCTGCATGTTTAATAACAGCAACAACCAAGAACAGTAGAGAAAGTTTCCTGGCATTTCTCAGGTCTCCTTACCTTGCTTTTTGATTTTATTTCACCACAAAGCTTCATAAGGTCTGAAGACAGATTGCTGCATACAAATGAAAAGTTAACCACAAGATTAAATGATAATTTATGCTTACCACTCTATGTTTATATCTATGAAAAAAATGTATACGTGTATGGAAAAGACAGGAAGGCAATACTTAAAACCAAAATGAATTTATTAAGAAATAACTCATTCTTCCTTAAACACTGGTGTTTTTATGTTCAAGTATATGATGATTAAACATGATTTAGTTTGGTCCCCATATTACTGTTCTAGTGCTCTTCATTAGCCATAAAATTCAAAATTATTTATTTTATAGTAATTGATACAAAATAAAAATATGAAAAAGCTTATAGCAACAGGTCAAATCTATTCAATCTCTAAACGTTCTCTTACCTTCCATCAGATCCAGGGCTGTTTAAAGGTGCATCCTCATCAGAACTATCCTCTACATTTTCTATATTAAAAAAAAGCCCAAAATGTGTTATCCACATATTACAATTTGAATGGTGACTACAATCCCTCTGCTATACAAACATCAGCTCAAAATCTCAACATGGGCACTGTGGTCTTAGTAACTGACTGAATATATAATTGTGAAACAGTATTTCTAAGAAATTCCTTGATTATATGTTCTGGGGGAAATATGTTTAAAATAGGAAAACCATGAATTTAAATAATGATACCTGAACAACTATTATATTTATAGGATGGGAATAAAATAATGTATTTATCTGAGTATTATTAATTTTGTATTTTTATCCTGCACTATCCACACATAAAAATCTTTATGATTAAAAACACAAGGTTAAACCAGGCGTGGTGGTGCATGCTTGGAATCCAGCACTCACAAGGCTGAAACAGGAGGATTACTATGAGTTCAAGGCCAGTCTGGGCTACAAAGTGAGTTCTAGGGCAGCCTGAACTATGCAGTGAAACCATACCTCAAAAAATACCAAAAACAAAAATAAAAAAGTTAAAATAAATGCTAAGTGAGTTTCCTTTAATGTCCTGGTCACTTATTAACACTTAGTAAGTATAAACAGTATTCCTACACATATTTATCTTTTTTAATTTTTGCCTTTAAGTAGAGTATATAAAGATATTAGAAGTCACACATTAGCATGCAGCTAATCACATATACACAGGAGACAAAAACAATAGGTTTGCATGCACAGTTTTATAAACTAATACAAGCAAACCACTGCTATTTCAGAACAGTTGTAGCAGACTAGAAAAAAAGGGGAGAACAAACATATAAAACAAGTAGAAAAATCAGTAAATAAAACAGCCATAGAAGATAAACTATTTGAAATGTAAGCAAGCTCCTAACATAATGTTTAAAATATACACATTTTATTATAAAATCATTTCACAAAACTAAAGACAATATTATGAGAAACATATATGTTAATAAAATATATAGGATTTACTTTCTTTTTAAATTTTCTATCATGCATATATGAAGTATGATAATTCCTATCTATCCATACTTTCTAGCTCTCCACTGGTGTTCCCAATCTGGAGGAAGAAAGAAATTTACTGTCATGAGGAAAATGTGTAACTCACGGCCCTTCAGTCAAGGAGGCTTACGGAGTTGCTTCAAAAAGAGGATACTTGGAGCTAAGGTGATTGAATTCATTGATAATACAGAAACTAAGGTTACAAAGAAATAAGCCTAGCCTCTGTTTTCTTCTACAAAAGCAGGCTGCGATTTGCTGGTATTTTTCTTGCAGGGAGTGGTAAAACCAACCAGAATTCTAAGCATTATCTGAGTGCTTAGGAAAAACCACCAAACTCCTGCTTGTGCGTGTATGCCTTATTTAGAGATAATTATGTCTTTACATAACCAACCTGGCCAGACCAGAGAGGGCTCAGTTACCAACTCAGACACAATTTCAGGACTGAGACTGGCCTTAAGTACTAGAATTCTCTGGGCAGTGAACATGACATCACCTCACAATTGTACCCCCATCTCTGACACATTAACTCTAGCCTAAAGCCAGCAGCTTTTTTCATAATAACAACTTTAAACTGAAAGCAGAAACAAAATTCTCACATGCCCTAATATTGATCTATATCAGGGTAAACCGTCATAGTCTAATGTCACTGGAAGTTAACCAAATAGGTGGGGTGTTATACATACATTTATGTTACAAGGTAAAGAAAAGACTTAATACAGCAACTCTGAATATGCTACCTTTAGAAACACCTGCTTGTAAATCTATCCTCTGGCTGACATATCGAAACTTAGCTCTTGGAGTGTTCTCAGTCAACACTTAACTCATAGTAAAGGCTGTTCACTACACCTGGACTGTGCCAACAACAGAGCCTATGCTGATTCTTGTTTTCCTTCCAGGAGTCTGGAATTCTGGTACAGGCTCAACAAAGGGTACCTATGTGACCCTTGGATGCCGAATGCCTAACGGATTTCTCTGGCAAAAAGTCACATAGATTGCTGTCTTTGTCTTCGTGAGAAAAGACGGAACTCTGTGTGATCTCTCATGGGTGAGGAAGACACGATAAAGCTGTACTTGCGTTCCTAGAATGACTCTTCTCTGACCCTCCCCTACTTCGGTGCTGTCTTTCAGCTCAAATGTCACCTCCTCCAGAAAGACTTCATCATACCTCTGTCTGTTCCATGCTCCCATTCCTCCTTGCATGCATCTCACTCTCTCCCTCACTTTACAGTCTGTTCGCCACTTGTCACACTCAGCATCGGCTTGCTGGAGACAGAGTAGGGTCTCACTCATCTCTGAATCTAATACCTACCCTAATATTTACAATAAGTTGGAGATCTAACTAAAAGTTTTTAAAGTAAAGTATCTATGGCTAACTATTCAGGGTTTAACTTCCATTCTTCCTCCTCTAGCTCCTCTAATCTAGACAATGCCCCTAGTCTCTCGGGAAAATTCCACCAGGAGTCCTAGGTTATACCATCTGAATTGGTTTATACACTGCTTCTGAGTGTTCTTCACACTGTACATTGAAAGTTGCTTGGAAGTTGCAATAAGCAGCACTGCTCATCAAATTACAGCTTAGTGTGTTTCTGCATACGAGGACAGCAAAGAATTTTTCTTCCAAGCTAAAAGATATCGTAAGTTTCTATAAATGAGACATTAAGAAGAACAGAGGAGGAAGAAAACCCGCCCAAGGAGAAAGGGGAAGAAAAGCATGAAGAAAATACTAACAAAGAAGAGAAAAAAGAAGAAGTGGAGGACAAGAAGAGAAAAAAGAGGAAAGAAAGATGGCAGAGAGGGAAAAACAGAGGAAGAGGTAGGAGAAGGAAAAGAAAATTGCATAACACACAAAAGGGCAAAACTGTTCATGATGCTAGGTATCTGAGTAGCGTAACATGGTTCCCTTTAATCACTTCTAAGTGGCCTTATACTTCCTTGCCTTAGCTTAAACAGCTTAAAATAATAGATTTTGCACATGTACATTACACTATATTACACATATAGTGCAGTTGCTCTCAAGGAAATACTAATTTGGATTAATCTGCAGTGTAAAAATCAAACAGGTCTTATGTTTTATTTATCTGACCACTTATTACCTAAAATAAATGCAGATTCATAGATTATGTTCATTCTAATCACTCAAGAGATGATTACACTTCAACTTACAGCTACTCTCTCTCTTTTAAGTGTAAGCATTTAGAAAACTTAATCATTGTGTAATTTGGGGAAAGTTATGACCAGGATTTTAAACAATTTTTAATTTTTAAAAAACTTTCTAAAATAAGCAATCAGAATTATCACCAGTAATAAAATTTCCCCAATACTCCTAACCATAAAAAAGAAACCTCTAAATTCAGTGATTTTTAAAGTCCCTTCTATTTTGAAATTATTATGCTTATGATTATAGTACTGTATCAAATTATCCACACAAAGTACTTGGTTTTATTTAACTTATAATATTAGGTGTGTCTAATTTTATAAAAATAAAGGACAGATGAGAATCTAGCAAATATATATACAAAAGAACGTTATTTGTGAGGTTAAAACAACAGATGCAAGTTAATATAAAATATATATATACTTCAAAATAAAAAAAAAATATGTTGTGTGTTTTCCTATGAGAAAGAGAAAGAGCTCAGAAAATTTACGCCACTGGAGCCCAAATACTAAAAGAAACAATTAACTAAAACATATTCTCTAAACACCTAAAAATTTTAAATTCAGGAATGTTTAATAAAGACAAAAGACTTAGTATGTTTGTGATCATGGATACATTTCCAAAAACATCATGCAAAAACCAGTTGGCTACCAATAAAAATTTTCAATATAAAATGTACCACCATTAGTGTACATGAACAATTAGTAATTCATGCAGCTGTAGGGTACACAGAAAGCTAAACATACTTACCTAATGGTACGCTATCTAGATCTGTATAAATAACAGCAAAAGGAAACAAAAAGCAATACTCCAATCAAAACAGATCCAATGTTAAGAACTCTCACATAAAACAAGATTACGTAGCAGTTGTAAGATATATGGAATAGATGCCATAGCAAACACTTACAAATTCATTTTAGGGCAGTTAGATATGCAGAGTAAAGTAATGAAACTTGGTTAATCTTTTAAGTTCATTTAATAACCAACTCATTACCTTGGTTAATCTTCTCTGTCCATAAAAACCAAATTGCTTAATAAGGTAAAGTAAGCCTTTTAAAAATTGGTAATCACTTCTATAATAACTACCTCCCCAAAATTTACATACACATGCAAACTAAAGAAAGAATAATTATAACAAGCATAAGTAAGTATAGCATCTATTCAGGCAAGCCATTGAGGGAGAAGATATACTATGTTTCAAGAGCAATGCTATCATGCAACTTGTCAGCTAAAACTTCATCCAAATTACCTTGTAAAGCATGACCTAGTAAAGCATCCAGCTCAGGATTTAATTCTGCTTTCTCTTTCAGCATGTGGAATAGGAGCTGGTTCTGCGTAGCACTGGTTATTTCAGTTTGTTTGAGTCGACCCTCAAGTACTTTGATTTGTGCCTCTTTCTGGGCAGCCTGAAGACCCTGCAGTAACAACCACCACAACAAATTTCTTAGGTCATACAAAACAAATCTGCGTAACACTTGGGCTTTGACCTCAGACACAACTCGGTGCATCTCAGTTCCTTACTTACAAACTTGGAAACCTTGGACAAGTTTACCTATGAAAATGTTACTCTCTGAGTCTGTTTCCTCATGTAAAATGACATGAACCATACCTACTTCCTGGTACATTGTGGAGATGAAGTGAGAAAATATAACATTAAGTGTCTAGCACAGTCCTCGCACAGGACCTATCACATTTCCTGGTGACATACTGGAGGAAGTATGACATTTTTTTCCCATCTGATTTTCATTCCAGTTGCAAACAATCAGTATTAAGCCAGTTATGGTACGAAATTTGTTCGCTTTTTTTTGTTGTTGTTTTCTAAAGAAAAACATGAATTATTCTTCAAGATGTTTTATCTGTTCTAATGCACAAGTATAACAGATGACAAGCTAAGGAAAATTATAAAGATATTAACTTTCTCATCTCTATTATTAACTTCTCAACTGTAAAGACAGGATTAAAAATACTTCCAATTATTAAACTTCTTTCTTCTTACATAGAGGTTTAGTGAAAAAAGAAGCATAACTATAATAAATTGATCAGTCTTGGGTTTTCACAGGGCAGATGAGACTTACCTTATTGATGCCCATTGACAGAAAGTGATCTAACAGGTATCGAGCTTCTGTGAGTGTGCAGGCATTAATTACTGCAGTGACATCCAAGATCTCGCCTTCTTCCTGTATCAAACCAGTGTTTCATAATCATTACTTTTATCTGGATGTATTTAAGCAGAAGGCAAAAGCCTAATGTATTGATTTGATAGTACTGGAACAGACAATGAGACCGTTCAACAAAGTATCACATTTGATCCCTGTACCAAGAAACACACAGTTTACTTGAAAAAGGACACATTTACATTGTTGAGAATTCAAGACAAGATGTAATCAATGATGCCAGGCTTGTACAAATAATCAGCAAAATCACAGAATCAGCAGAGAAATCTCAAGAGCAAATAGAGAGTGGTTAAACTTGAAAATCAGATTTTAATGAGCTTTTAAAGATAAATAAAATAAGGACAAATACTTTCCATTAAGCAATTAAGTATCTTCTAAATTACAAACCTTTGCTTCTTCCATTTGCATGATATTGGCTTGACAATCAGAAATACTATCATTGATGTAATCTATGTTAGCAGTCAGTGACTCCATCTCCTCATTGATGCTAACCACATTCTTATCCCCCTCTCCACTCTCCTTGATTATCTTCTCTCTTCTTCTTGAAAGCTTTTCACGTCTTTTTGTGAGTTCTTCCCGTTGCTATTGAAAATGCAGATTATATTTTAAGAAGTGATGCTCACTTCCTCATGCACAATATAATCAAAAATAAAACAACAACCTAGTAAGTATTAATTGTACCCAGAGAACGAATTTGGAAAAGCAAAATTAAATGTCAGCCAAGACGGTTCCAACCTTGAGGAGCCTGTCCATGTCAGCTTCCATATTGGAAATGGTCATTTTCTGCATGATGATGTCAGTGACCCTACGCTCCAGGAGCTGCCACTTCATGCGGGCTGTCTTGGAGGTGAACACCCGGCCAGTCAATCCTTTCCTCTGATATTTTTTTCTATAATCATATAAGAACACATACAGACAGCTGTCACATACTGCTTTGACTATGTATTGCCCACTCATGGGACATGTTTCATTTGTGTACGCATTTGGTATTAATGACCACAAAGATCATGTCAGAAGGATCAGAAGAGTCATGCAGACCTGGTGCCATTTGCTGTGGGCACTGGTAAGGCCTGTACCCTTGCCACGGGAATTCTCATTTTCTGCTGCGTGCCTGCCCTTGATGCTTCTGTCTCCACAGCAGCTGCACTGGAACCCGTGTCCTGACCAGGTGCTTCTGAGGAGCTCAGCTTCCGAGTGACCTTCCCAGCCACTTTATCAGACATAGGCCTCACTTGCCGACGAAGAGCTGTAACCTGAAAAGCACCGGGATTGTGTCATACTTTCAGTCTGCAGAAATACATCTTGAAATCAGACTAGACTAATTCCTCCCAATGATCAACCTGCTTACTGTACCTCTTCAGTTTTGCGACGAAGAATCACTTCTTGGTTTCTTTTTTGGGCTTCCAGAAGTCTAAGTTGATGCTATAAGATAAATGAATAAATTGAAATAGTAAACTGAAGGATTCAGCGCTTCTCATCTTAATATATTTCCCCACGCTCCTGGAAACTTTAAGAGTTCTCAGCAGTACCTGAGTTAATCACCTGTCTCTGTCAGTACAGACATACCTCTTATTTCAAGAAACATAAACACATAGTGACCAGCCATCCCTGCCTAAAAAAAATGAAGTTACCTCTGTGCCATATACTTCCTGTAAAAATACTGTAGTGCTTACTATGTACAAAAACTTTTTACTTAGGAAACAATTTTGGACTGAAAAGGAACATGGATCCTAGTTCTGGTTCTATCATTTATTCAATTGCTCAATCTTTGTCAAAACTTAGGAATTAGGTTTGAATATGAACATCCCTTCTAGCATTTGAAGTATATTATGTAACACCTCGTATTTTTTTTCTCAAATCCAAATGGATCATTCATTTTATGTTTATACACATTCCTTTCTCATCAGAAGACAACTGAGGAAATTATTCCATTTCATTACAGCCATAACCACATTATCTACCACAGTGACAGACACAGAACCAAAGTTGATAAATATTTTTTAGCTGAATGCACTACCAAAACTAAAATTAATATACAGCTTGAAATTTATTACTACATTAAATATTCCTATTCAGTACAAATATCAAGCTATTTCATTTTTTGTATGGCACAGAAACATCATACTTCGTGTCATATTCAATGAATATAATGAGTAACAATTTAGAAAGACGCCAAATATGCACACAAACAAGTGGGAGTGGAGTCTGAGTTCCAGCATTGTTTGGGATTAGCAAGTTTTTCATCTTTATAATATAATACAGACATCATATGCTCAGATAAGATTCAAAGTTTCATCTCAGGAGTTAACTGTTCAATATCGATCTCACATATCTCATATGAATTAGTAATAATGAAATAGTACAATTATTCTTGTCACCCAAAAGAAAAAAAACAAATTGCCTAAAAGTAGAAATATTATACCCAAATTTCCATCAATTAATGAATGGACTTCTTTAAAATGTGCTGTATCTATTCAGCCATAAAATAAGTAGGACTGGTACATGCTACAAGATGGTGAACACTGAAAATATCATGTTAAGTGAAAGGCCATATAGTAGTAGGATTCTGTTCCCATGAAATGCCTAAATGAGGCAAATCCATAGGGCCAAAGAGTAGATTTGTGGTGGTAGGGAACAAGGATCAGCGGGGAATGTCTGCTAAGTGGAATACTGAAAATGTTCTAGAATTAGATAGTGATTTTCACACAATTCTAAATACAGTAAAAACTTAAACCATACACTTTAATTACTTTTTGATATGGAAATTGTATCTCAATTTTTTAAAAATAGCAAAAAAATAGGCAATATGTTATGCTTCTACTTGCTTTCAATAGAAACGAATTACATATCTCTAGAATGCTCGGGAACTGTATATGACAACTACACTGATAATTAAAATATATTTTGCTATTCTGAGAGGAGAAAAGAAGAAAGAAATATTGCTATAAATAGTCATTTGGCCAAAATTTATATTTTTTCTACCTTATAACTCTCTTTATCTAACTGTTCTAATCATATCCCAAAATAGGCTTCCCTATTCCATTTTCTAAAATATATTATATGACCATATTTTTCCAGAGAAGATACAGAAAAAACTGAGCAAGAAAACAGGCACAATGGCTGAAATGTAATTAATAATGGGCTGGGGTGGGGGAGTAATGTTCTTGTATCTAACAAAAAAATATAAATACATTTTTTCATTTAAAAATAATCACATTTCCAAAAACTTGAAAAGAAAAAAATCAGGCATAATCTGTAATCCTAGCACAGTTACAGCCAGCGTGCTAGTATGCATCCTTCAATTTTTTTCCATCTTTTAATCAAGTATATATATATATATATATATATATATGAAGTACTATTTTCCACTTAATATTGGATTGTAGTCACTTTTATAGAACTATACTGTTTCCAAATCTCATTTTTTTCCACACTAGGGATTGAACCCAGGGCCTTCAGACATTCCCTGGCCCTTTTTTTTATTTTAAGACAGTCTCACTAAACTGCTCAGGCTAGGCTTGAACCTGCAATTTTCTTCCTCAGCCTCTCAAAGTGCTTAAATTATAGAAGTGTACTACCATGGCCAGTTTCTGAGCTTTTTAATGAGTAAATAACAATCCACTAAGTACAATGAATCATAATTTATTTACACATTACTGCTGCTGCCAAGCAACATTTATTTTTATGTTTTTTACAATTACACATAATACTAAATAGCTGGGCATGGTGGCATCCATGGAGGCAGAAGCAGGAAGATCGCCGTAAGTTCAAGGCCAGCCTGGCCTACATAGTGAGTTCAGGGATAGCTTGCACTGCAAAGTGAGACCCAGTCTCAAAAAAACAATAAACAAATAACCCAAAAATGAATCTTAACAAATAGATTTTAGATTTAAGTATGAATCCATAGAAGGAAAATTCTTAAGTCAAACGGTATGAAAAATTCTACAGCACTGATTATTATTCCAAAAACATCTGTAAAAATCTCTAGTAAAAGAATTACCTTGAAAATCACCCAGAAATTCTTAAATATCTTAAATAATACTCAGACCAGTTCCCTGACCTCCCCTGAGAAAACCATCCATCCCTTATCATTTCTATCATCATTTATGAAATATACCTCAAGTAAGATTTTATTGTAATACCAGTTTTCTATGAACTTTTATATGAAATTACTATAACCTACATACTATAACAAATAGCATTTTATGAATTGATGTTTTCCTAATATCCTCAACCTATACCTAAGTTAGAAATGTCCTCCATTTATTAAGCACTCTTGGTCAATGAACAACCTTATACAAGAGTTAAACGCTACTCACATCTCTCTTACGCTGATCCTTTTTCAATTGTGCGATTTCTCTGTTTCTTCTAGATTCTGTCAGTCTAGCTTTCTCTTGTTCTTCTTTCATTTGCTTCATTAGGCGAACCTAATGTGCATTAAATATGTACATTTACTGGCATTACTCTATCATGATAGTAATTAAATAACCACAGGTATGGATGGAGATTCTTAGAATTCTGAATATTTAACAGGACTACAAGTGGAGTAACATTTAGTGATTGTTATTTTTGCATGATTAATACATTTCTATTTCTATGGCATATCTATCGAATTTCTTACTGCTCTATGCTCTTCATACTTAATGTTCAGTTATTCTATACCTTGAAGGGAATTTTGAGAATTATTATCAGTAGATGTGTGATATTAAAGAAATTACTTCACCTCTCTATGCTTTGATGTCTTCATTTGTAAAGTGATTAGTATTTCCACAACACTGGACTATGGTCAGAATTCAGTGTACCTAATGTTGACTATAAAAGGGCCTACTACAGGATAAGCACCGAACAATTTATAGCTATTCTTTTAACAACCACACAATATATTTCCTAAATCATTTCCATATTAGCTATTTTAAAGAAACTACATTAATTGTTATGCTAGATCTTACAAATAACTGATCCCACAGCAATAACAAGTAAAGATCAGGATTCGTATACTCTTCTTTGTCAGAAGAAGAAATGCATGGGATGGATAAACTACAAATTCAAGATAGTTACTTCTTAAGGAATGAGGAACATGATCAGAATGACATATTCAGGAGGCTTAGTATGTGTTTACCATATTGTAAACTAGGCAGTAGATACAGTGTTTATTTTATTATGTACAAATTGCATGTATGAAGTACTGTGTGCTTTCTTTATCTTGTGGAAGAATTTTAAGAGGAGAAAAACACAACTAAGTCTGAAAATTCCTGTTGACCACATAACTTTCAGTTAAGCCTTCAATGATGAATTACTATGCCAAAAAAATACTTCCACTTGCTATAAGGAAGTGCATCATTTGTAAGATGGGGTTACTTTATATCAAATCTAGAAAGAACCACAATAATTTTTTATCTTAAATGACACAAGCAGCCACAACACCAGATCTTAATAAAAACAAAATCAATACCTTTGTTTTTTTCATTTCCATTACATCCTGCTGTAATTTCTTCAATTGCTTTTCATATTGAGACTGATTTTTGAGCAATCTTGCGTGCTCTTTCTGAGCTGCCTGAAGTCGCTGCAATTCTTTGTTCATGGCTTGGAGTTTCTTTTCGTACTCAGACTTAATTTTTTTTGCCTTTTCTTCTGAGTAAGATTCCACAGAGCCTAAACAACCAACAATATTTCTATATTTTTAAAACATAAATTTTTATTTCACAGATTTATAACTTATGACTAAAAAACAGGTACATCTGAGACACACAAAACCCTCAATTCCAGAGGCCATTCAATCATTTTCACCTAATTACCTACAAAATTTGTTGAAAATTATTCAAGTTTTTTAAATTTAAAACTGACCCAGTCATAAATCAAGACATTAAAATAACACACTTTGTAGAAATCAAATAGCCTAGACAGATATCAGTATGAAAAAATAAATAACATTTAACATGAAACAAACATGAAATATATAATTTTAAAGCAAAAATCAGACTTGAAAAAAATTTAATGTGGCTTCTCATTTTTTCTCCTAAAGAAAGAGAAGATAAAAACCTATAATGATGATGTCATTCAAAATCTCACCTGCATTAAATATATAATTCTTACCTAAATTCTGAAGCACCTGGTCTCTTTCAAGCTGAGTATCCCGAATTTTATGCTGCAGCATCATCAGCTTCTCTTCATATTGCTTTTTCAGTGTCTGCAATCTTTTCTGGCTGTTTTCTAGTTCATCAATCAGCTTTTGCTTAATTGCAATTTCACAGGTTATATTTGCTAAGTCTGCTTGGTAATTGGCTATTTACAAAAGAAGAAAATAAAAATACTTGGACTAAGCCAAAATATTGCAATTCTAGCTTTTAGCGAAAATTATACAATCCATCATCCACAGTTATGTATTTATTTGGCAGATATGAGAGACATTTCCTGGGTAAACCAAATTCTCAAAAGGTGAAAAAGACAGTGCTCACCTTCTACAGAACAACAGATAGCATTTGTAGTAAGGAAGAATGGAAATAACTAAACCCAGTATGACTATGGCTAACCGCAGTAAGTGAAGCAGCTTATCTGCTTAGCACATGAGCCTAGGAGGGCACAGGTAGATCAGCAGCCATAAAGGCTGTGTACACTAAGAATGCAATGGTTCAAGTAACTTCCCAAAATGAATTTCTGCCTTTGTACAAAAAAGCAAGTACCTTTTTCATCCGAATCAGAATCCGACTCATCAGAGCTTTCACCTGCTTCCATGTCATCTTCATCTTCCTCCTCCTCTTCCTCATCCTCATGATCACTCACTTCCTGACTCTCTTCCTGAAATGTGATTTGTGACCATAGAAAAAGCACAATGTTCGTAAAACAAAACAACTGCTTCACAGAAGACTGGTGGAGGACATACTACAAAAGCACAAACTTTTTCACTTTTCATTAATTCAAAAATAAATAAGTTCAAGATTTTAAGGCCATTATATAATAAATTTTCCTTCAAAGAGCACTTCACACCTCCTAGTATGTGTCTCCTTATACACATAATGCTTTTGCACCAGACTGAGAGTTGCCAGTACTTTATAGCTCACTCTTCCCAAGAATGAAAGTCCTGAAGAAAACAGCACACACTGTGTATGATAAACATTTCCTGTTTCTACATGTAAGTTATGATTATCTGCAACCAATAACCTGTGTCTAAAATTCACAAATTCATTCTTTCACACTTACCACTTCTAACTCATTGCTTTCTCGTTCTAGAGCACCTTTTTCTTCTTTCTTCTCTTGGTCAGTGTCTGCATATTCCTCTTTATTGACCAAACTAAAAAAGAGAATAAGGGTATGTTGTTAAAGAATAGAAGAAAACTGTTTTCTTCTATTCCTTTTTCTCTCTAATTTTTTTCTACTAATTAATTAATGGTTGACACAAACTAAAACTATTGGTCACTTGACTAAGCCAGCTATCCTATCTGATGCTTCAGAGAAATCACGATTCAACCAATAACTCAATGACTTACATGACTGGAAAAATGCTTGTTTTCTAGAAACACTGAGGAATAGCTTATACGCTGAAGACATGATCTGATTACCTGCAACCAATAGCCTTAGAATAGTCAGAGGACAGCCAGCTGACTATAACATGAGGCAATTTAAATTCAAAAGAAATAAAAATTGATGTTTTTATTGTCTCATGTGAATACATAAAAGCTTATTCATATAAATAAAAATCTATAAAAATTTTATTTTCATTAATATCCTAATAAGCCTAAGAATAAATTTCAAAATCAAAATGAACTCTACCTATAGTGAGCCCGTCTACACTGGCTCCATTCACCCGAGTGCTCAAGTTTTATTAAATCATCCCCACAGTGCAGAGCTATGTCTTGTTATGTTCTCACAGAATGGATCTCTGCATACCGAAACTGGAGTTCAGGCTGCCCACTGACTTAACTGGAAATTCCAGCACTGGCCCAAAATTCACCTTACACTTGGAACTTTCTCTTTCATCATCCACTGCTTACAGCATAACCACGCACGGGCTGGTGGCAGATCACAGTTAAACTACTGCAGCCCTGATGGTCCCGAGGAAGAGAGGCTGAGCAAAGTTTCTGCACACTCTAATGAATTCTAATCTTTTTGGGGTTTAGCAACCATGATCAGCAATGCACAGGGGATGACCTTCTGTTCATCAAATTTATACACTTGATCAACTTAAGCAATACTAGGACTATAAACTTGAATCTCCATGTTTCTGAACTACTATAACACTTTTAGAATACTACAAATAACAAGAATACTTGGAAAGGTAATATTCTCCAAGTAAAATTCCTCTATTTTAAGAGTTTTAAAAATTACCACAATTTGGATTCACAATAGCTATTATCTTTCATCTATTCTGCTATATTTAATGATTTCTCCAATCTATAGATATATTTTTAGTTTCTAGATAAAAAAAACTTCATTTAGACCCCATTATTATTACTTAATGCTGCTTAACTCTGGGTTTCAGGTCACATATATTTTTGTACTTGGAACAAAATTCATATAAACATTTCTCTTATAAGTGCTTTCTAGAGGTTGTAATTTATGTTTGTGTGATTTTTTCTATTTGATATCTATCTCCCCCACTAAACTGAAAGGATCATGACAGCAAAGACCCTGTCTGTGTGGTTCAGCATTACATCCCCAGGATTTGGGGCTCGCATGTAATAATTTTGCAGTGTCTGCTAAATAAATCAGTCCCTATGACAGTACACAAGCACCTCTGTTTGAACATGTCTGCATGTTTCACACAGCAGTTAAGTTGGAAAACAATGTAAGGTTTCAAAACCACATGGAAAACAGCACATCTCTGGAATGGGAAGAAAGTACCAGAAAAAGTACTAATACAATAGTTCTTAAGTAGAGTCAAGTAAATTGTAACAAGTGTTGTTAAATCATTTTATTACAGAAAAATGAACTTCAAGAAAATTAAGAACCATCCTGAACCTTTGTAATAAATAAGAGACGATTTTACACAATGTATTAAATGCCTCTTTAAATTGACTGCAATGTACTAGCACTGTTGGTTTTCCACTGACATCAGTTCAAGCTAAAAATCTAAAAAGAAATGTCCTCTTTTCTAATCTTAAAGCCCAGCAACACAAACTCAGATACCTGAGGTATAGGTCCCAGGCTGAGGGCTAAGCAAAGAGAATGTGTCAGGGAAGTCTTCCGTGTTCCTTCCCTAATGCAAATGCTGCAGCTTTCAGTTGTTGTCACAGGTCCCTTCATAGCTTCAAGTTCTAAGCCAAATTCTTTTACTCAGGTTTGTAGCCCTATGACCACTTCATTCAACACACCCTCCTCCTCCCCTCAAGTTACCAATATCCAGCATAACAATTACTGTTTCACTAAATATTAAATCATGTAAGTTGTCATGCCATTTTAAAGCTGAAAACTTAGCCCTTATAACTTTACATTGTTAAATTAATTTTATCAATATTTTTAAGGCTTTGGCTTCTAAAATGCAAATTGACACATGTGATTATTATCCTCAAATATTCAAGTTTTCCTCACTAAAATGAGGCAAATTGACACCTAAAATATCGAAACAGCAACACAAGACATTTAAATTTGCACCTAAGGTAGAATCAGAATCTTGGCAGCTAGAAAGAATATTAGCAATTAACTCCTTCATGCAACAAATGAAAAAGAAACTGTGACCTAGGAAAGTTGATCCATTCATAACAGCTAACATAAGGTATCCTTGCTTCCAAGCTAACTTGGTATTCTCAAATTGTGTGCTCGAAATTCATCTCAGGCTGGGCACAGTGGCCCATGCCTCTAAACCCAACACTCAGGAGGTTGAAGCAGAAGGATCCCATGAGTTTGAGGCCAGCCTGTATTGCACAGCGAGACCCTGTCTCAAAAAAAGCAAAATGCTCATCTCAGACCCAAAGCATCTGCATCACTAAGATATGCAGAAGGTCAGGCTCACCTCAGTCCACTGAGTCACAATCTATTTTTATCAAAACCCCTAGAGATACGTAGGTATACTTAGGATTGAGAAGTACTATCTTGGACAGCCAGCTACTAACAAATTCTATCTACTATATACATTTTTTTTAAAGGATTTGAATATTCTGGGGTGGTAAAAGTCTTCCACACATAACTTTAATCATACATCTTACTTTGACCTCTTACAGTAGAAGAAATTTTAAAGGTATAATGCTTTCATTCTAATCATAAGTATAATGTCCTAAATATATAATGACTAGGTGAGTTCTAGTGTTACCTACAGCCAATTAAAACTATATTCCAATTACAGAATATCTTAAAGTTGTAGACTTACAGAATATAAAGTTTGAAACTTTAGAATACTACATAATATGTAGAATACAATTATACAATGTTTATTACAAACAATTTAAGCTTTAAATTAATTAAAAATTTTAAGCTTTAAGGTATTTTAAGTGAGATATTCATTTAACTGAAAAGAAAAACTCCTAAGTTCTTTAAATAAGAAATGGATTTTCTAAAGTGACACTTCAAAAGTACTTAAATACGATTTCAAAACTAGTTTATTTTCTTAATATAGCTATATCTGATGACTTGTTTAAAAAATCTATGAAGAAAAATTTTAAGAAGTAAAATATTACTTGGTCTTTGCTTAGATAATCATAATTCTGAATCAATAAAATGCAAGTTTTCATTATTTTACAGAGTTCAGAAAAATAATTCTAAATTTGCTCAAGCTCCAAACACAGAAAAAGACTCCTGATTTTGAGGGTCACTTCAAATAACAGTTAATAAACAAACATTGCTTTCTAGTTCAATCTTAAAACTACCTTGCAAATTTTATTTGTATTAAGGTCACAGTATCCTTTGCTTTGCTGCCATTTTAATGTTTTCTGAAAAGAATTTCAACAGATAAGGAAGAGATAAAAGGCCCACCCATGCACTATAATAAACATATCAATTCTCACTCAATCATTAATTCCTACCCTGCTCACAAGTTGCTTAAAGATACAGAATCCTTGATTTTTAAGATCAAATGGTAGAGGTTCTGTTGGGTCACTTTTACATTAAACAAGTTAATCATAAGTAATTACGATAGTTTAAAGTCACATGAAATTGTCTAAATTTTAATTCAACTAAATCATGGTTTTACTCTTAAAAAGTACTTTTAAAACAATTTTGGTGTCTTTGTTGTTTTTTTTAAACCACCATCACTTCTAGGAGTATAAAACTAATCTAGTCTGTAGCAATCTATAATTCTATAATACATTTACTTGTTAATGGCAACTAGGTAGTTAAATGACATTTTAATAAGAAAACCTTGGAAATATTCCAACCTTCTTTCTTCTCGATTGCTTTCCTCAAGTTTCTGTAGCCTTCAAAATCACGAGGCACAGTATTGGAAGGCCAAGCCAATGAAGGACAAACCAGACAGTGAAAGCGAAAGTGATAAGAAGGTAAAAATGATACATGAGCTTGAAGACTTTAAAACAAATTTTAAAAGATATCATTAAAGGACAATACACAGTAAAAAGGCAATACATTTTGTACGAATAAAAAGTAAATAGAAATAAAGTAGCATTTTATGTAAGAAGACTATAAACTGTAAATTGGAATTATTCAGCAGTAATATGTACAGTCTCATTTCACATAAGTTGATAAGTAGTAAGAATGTTTGGATTTCATTGCTTTTTTAGTCTGAAATGCTTTTTTAGGCTAAAATTGCTTTTTTAGTCCATTTTCTTAATTCCTCTTACAAAAAAAGCCCACTTTCAGTGATATTTTCTTTCTTTGAAATCTTTACCAAAAAAACTTTTTCATGGTATAATTAAAAGAACTACCCAAAGTAATGCCTTTATACCATAATATGAAAACACTAATACTACATGCTAAAATATTACTTTTAAAAACTTATTTTTCTTTTAATATACAAGTAAATATCATTAAATCTAAATTTAAGAAATCCTATATATTGAACTATTATATGACATGGTATTACAGGCAATGAATGTGGTTATTATATCAATGAAAACTAATTTTTTAATTGAAAATAAAATCTCATAATATTAGGATTAAAAATCTTATGGTAATTATTAGAAACTAACTACCAAAGGGGCATATCAAAGCAAAAGCGAAAAACGGCAATGTAGTACTTTCCATTAGTAATATTATCTTTAATGAGATAAGTGTAAGAAAAACTATAAAGTTGTAGGCATAGATGTTGAAATACAATTATTTTCATAAAGAACACTCAGTACACACTTAGGAATCATTACTCAATGGAATGTACTGTATATGTTGTCAATATTTGTCATACCAACCAAATAATAGATGTGCTAGGCTCTGTAAGCATATAGCAATCTAGACATATAGCACACTTACTCCTAGAATTTCAAAGTTATATTTGGAGTGGTTGTATCTTAAAATGAGAAAAATGAGACTAAGGTTTAAAATTATTTCATTAAGCCAGTTTTCTTCATTTTAATTTTATGTGTGCTTGCATGTGATTTTTATTTATTAATCAAAGATTGTTCTGCATTCATCAACTGCAATCACAAGATGAGATTAGCACTCTTTGGAAGAAAAAAAATCTACAGTAATATTTAATAAGGGTTAAGTGGCTGAGAATAGATAGTGACTAGAAAAAGGAATGTAAAGCCATCACTTAAGAAATCTGCGTGTTTCCAGAGTTTCAACCCATACCACTAAGTACAGTCTGAAGAATGGGTGGAGCTTTTTATATCACAAGTCATTTAAAGCTAGATATCCAAAAATATGAGACTAAATACAGAACTGGTAATTTTTTTCTTCCACATATGCAAAAATGTAAAACTATTTAAATTTAATCTAAGCTTATACTGATGATAATAAACAAAAAGGTACAAGAGATATGTTCCCTGATCAATAGTCCACACTTTCCATTTTTGTTATAATTAATTTTTATTTACTTTACATGGAAGAGCTATATTAAAAATTATAACAGACATGAGCCAATGGTAGATATATTTTAAATGCCTTCCCAATTTTTTCTTTAAAAAACACTGCAATCAGTAGTTCAAAAAGACAGTAGAATAATTGAAAATAAACTAATAACCCAACAATATTTCTCCATATGTTAAGGAAGTTTGCTTTTTTCTTTCATCTAGTTCATCCCAATGGGGAGAAGGGGCCTTGCTAAGAATTTTTAACATTTAGGTTAATGAGAAATAGGCAGTAAAATCTAGTCAGTTATTCAGAGACCAATAATCTGGTTTGTAGAACAATCATGAAACTTGACACCCTCCTATTTTCTTACTCTTTAGAACCTTGCTGCTATTTTATAGCTCAACAGAAAATAGACATGTAAGGTAGAGACACAAACTTTAAAGTCCCATGTGTTAACTATATGTTACTGCTCTGATGAGACTGAGGTGAAGAAGGTAAAGCTTTAATGTAAACAGGATTTGTACATGCTTCTTGATCACAAATGACCTAAAAATGATCTGCTATCATTCTCCCTACCAACTCCCACAATGTCAGAGGCTCTAAAGTTACTAAAATTAAAAATGGCAACACAAGACAAATTAATTAAAAGACATATGCCTTATAAAAGACATGCACCTGTAAGGGGCAGGATAGTTCAGAAGAGCCTAACCAAAAGACCAAACTCAGCTAGATTTTAGGAAATAGCAAGGGGTGGGGGAAAGGAGAACCCTCCCTATTTTGCTTGATTGTTTAAAATTAATCACATTGCCTGCAATTTCACTGTTTGGATCAATGTTATTACTTTCAAAAACACAAAGATCCCCTTAAAGGGTGTGCTTTGTTATCAGTCATTTCCACTGAGAAGAACTTTAGTGGGAGAGCTTTGCTGATGAGTTTGAGTTCCGGGACAGGAGGGAAGGAAAGAAAGCCATTTTGAAACGGAAGTAAGGCTGCACAAGGGACAGGTAAACAAGGTAGCCCAGGGGACGGATCAGCAGGAAGCAATGGGAAAGCAGAATATACATTTTTCCCCAGATACTGCCATCACCCAAAGAATAGTTTTCCTTTTTCACTTTTGGCTGCTCCTTTCTGAATTGCTTTCACCACAATAGAAAGTGGGCAAAAAAATCATTTCATGTATGTGAACTAGACATTATATAAAACGTTCTAGAGAAAAATTAACATCAACTGTCAAACAGTTAAGGTTTCACTAAACTGTATGTGTAATTTGAGGCAGAATTATATTCAGATAAGTATCAGGTCGATAATGCAACTGAACTCAAATTGATAAATCTAGACAGGAGTTAGGTCCTTAAGAAGACCAATCACTACCTTCAGCGAAGCTACAGTCATTATAGGCACGTCTGAAATTCCTGGTTTATTGTGTGTTTGTCTGTTTCAGCCCTTTGGCGAAAATGAGAGCTTATCTATTGTACACTACACACATCTAAAAGGTATTTGGATCTAAATGTGATGAATACAGTCTTTATCAGACTTTAAAACACTACAGGTTTCCAATATTTAATCCCAAATGTTTGTCCAATAACATGGAAACAAACTTCAACATATTCTATAAATTTGTATATATAGAAATATGAATTCATAAACTAGCTCTCAAGCTTTTTATAGCCACAGTGTTTTGCAGCACACAAAATAAACTTTCTAGCTTTACAAACTATAGAGATGTCAGTTTTATAAAGATACACTGGAGCATGCAAGTGAAAATACTTTACAAAATAGTTTTTCTAAAGCACTCTATAGAAGTGTTTGAGAAAATCCTGAATCTTCGCAGTGAGTCACATTCTCAGCCCTTTTTTGTTTTTTATTCTGAGACAGGATCTCACTCAGTTCCAAGTTACCCAAGCTGGGCTCAACTCTCCTACCTCAGGCTCTCAGAGTGCTAGAATTACAGGCAAGGACTCCCATTCCCAGCCAAGAAATATTAATTTGTCTTCCTCACTGTAAGCTTTCACTTCTTACCTAGTTTCAATTTCTGGAGCTCTTTTGTTTGTTTTTTGTTTTGAAAGGATTGTTTGTTTTTGCTCAAACACACTTTATCTTCAATTATATCTGATTTCTTAGGAAATAACTTATTTTTAATTAAATTTTTATAGTTAAACCCACTTGTCTCTTAAGAGTATATTTATGTCTATCATCTTTGTCATAACAACTTATTACATCTATGGTACTGGACTATAAAATTTCAATTTGCAATTTGAAATAAATGATATTTTACTTAAATTTTAAGTAAATAATGGGAATTAAGTAAAGTAATGGGAATCCTATTATAACAAAAAATATTAATAATAAACTATGCTTCCAGTAGAACAGTTTGTAAGTCAAAAGTGCATTATTACCAAGCATTATTATGAAAACAAAATAAATCTAAAATATTAACATTGGGTACCAATCATCATTATAAAAATATCAAAAATATAATCCCTATTTATTTTTCACTATTCATGCTCAACAAATGATTAAACCAACATCTTTAAGTTTCACTTAAAAGAAAAAGGTAGCATCTCTCAGTAAATAAGATGGCTTTGCTTCCTTTCTGAATATTTAGCCAAAAATGCTCAATCTGATATGCTAAAAAATATATTCTCAGCCAATAATTTGACTGCATTTATAGAATCAATGTGTGAACATATAAAGAATTCATGAGTATTTAACCACAAGTGGTTAAATTTTCATGTTCTTTCTCTTCTTTGCACCCAGTTTATTTTAGAGAAAGATACTATCATGATGCAAAGAAGACAAAGCCTAGAAACGGTGGTGGAAAGCTAAGTAACTCCCTGCTGGAAAATTCAGAAAGCCTAAAATAAGCATGAATAACTTCCACACAGTGAAATTAGAAGCTCCATAGAAAATCCTCACAAGACCAAATGACATTCTGATGGATTAGTTTAGCCTTTAGTTAAACTAATCAAGATAGGAATTAGAATATCCATGAGACTACTTAATTGCATTAGAAAGTGCAAAAATGAAAACACTGAGCTGTAATGGTGCAGCAGGCTTTGCACAAAGCAAGATGAATGGGATGCAAAAGCAGCTATTTGGAGGAATCATAAAATAATAGCTAATAGTAAGTTTGCCTTGTCATGTTCTGAATAAAAGTTATTCCCTATTTTATAGCTAAAGTTATTTTTCTTATACATTAGAAATATAATTCATTCAAATGTATGGTTATAACTGTCAGCTAATTTAAATCATTTATTTCATATGTTAACATATTTAGGAAACTATGTATACTCATCGTAACCGCAAATTAAAATACCCTGAAAAAAACAGCAATTCAAGTAACTTTATACTACCTTTTAGTAATTTTATATTACCTTTTTTTCTTCTTCTTTTCTTTCCTTTTCAGCTTCTCTAAGTCTTTCTTAGCTAGATCTATGATTTCAATTGTTTCTTTGTCAGAAGAAAGTATACTGGGAGAAAAAGCTGAGGATCCACTGAAATATGGTGACCTTGATGTGGCCCTTGTCAAGTTTTTTCGAAGGTTCTCATTCACTGCTTCACTTTCTAATAATTTTGCCCTAAAGAATAAAAATATATTTAAGTAGGGAGCATGTTCTATTGTGGTACAATACACATAACATACAATTTCTTGCCATAATCATTTGTAAGTATGTACTTCCACTACACTGCGTGCATTCATACTGTTGGATGAATTCTTACCATTCATCTCCGGGAATTTTTCATCTCTCCATGCTGAAACTCTGCACCCAATAAACACTAATTCTCTCTTCCCCTCTATTCCAGTCCCTGGCAGCCTCCACACTACTTTCTGTTGCTCTGACACATGTTTGCAGTACATAATGATTACATATATTGTGAGGAATATAGAAAAATTGAAATGTGTTGTTTTGCATGATAAAATCTTTTCTGAAAACATTTTATTGCTGCTCGATGGTAAAGTTTTTCAATACAAACATACTCACAACATTAATGTTTAGGGCATTTTGAAATCCTGAATAAGTAATTATAAATCTGAAATCACAACCGTGGGTGGTCAAAAGAACTCTCTACCTTCAGATGCCAGTGGGCAATTACTTGAATCCTGGGCAGTAGGGACCAGTGGTCCTTGCCTTGTAAATGCATTAAACTTCCAATTACAAACAGCATGGTCACCTTAGCTTTAGTTCCTCTTTTACCACAAAATAATAACATTTCTAAAACTTTGAAAGCAGTAGTTAGTCAAATCTGCCCCTAACTGGCTGATAGACATCTGGCTCCTGAATATGGCGTGGGAAAGATGATATCTCCACGGGAACCCATGTTTGATAATTGAAAAAATGCTTTTGTCTGCCCAAGCAATTCTAATAATGACAAGAGCATAATATATGCACTGTCAGTAATATGTGAAAGCATACAATAAGATTCTAAAAGAGCCAGGACTCCTGAGACGAAAGGGATTAAGAGAGAACTATAGGCCAATCCCTGCACTCTTATTTGATTTAAACCATTATGAACACAATTATCTATTTCAACATAATGAATATCAGGTGCAATTTGGCACAAGCGTGACTAAGACAGGGCTCAAAGAAAAATGCTGTCAATCTCTGTCTCAGCACAACGCACTAAGCGCTTCTGAAATATACTCAAACATTTCAAAGGAAAATCCTAGCTTATTTGCAACCACTGAGCTCTAAAAGACAAAAATCTACTCACTGCCTACAAAACTATTCATGATACTCTTAAAACCAGTGAGAGACAAAGATTACATAGATTAGTGAGAGTTTCAAGTCCATATCCCTTACATTCTGAAAGGAAACTGTTTAATTATATACCTGATACCATGTGGGAAAAATAACAAGTATGGTATTTTTGAATTTTTACCTAGGGTTAGGAGGTATTCCTCTGCAACACAAAATGTGTGAGGCCCTAAGTTTGAACCCAAACCAAAACAATAAATATAATAAAATAAGATGTTAAATAGCTAGGTAGCTTAACTGAACTGAAGTTTTTTTCCATGATTCTGTGATCAGAGTCTTGGAAAGAATTGTTTGTGAACCACTGATCACAAATTCTGTGATCATAATCTCGGAAAGAACTGTTTGTGAACCAAGGTACCACTGTATAATAAATGACAACTTGTGTATGTACTTTTTTGGGGAAGGTATGTATTATTTTAAAACTGTGTATTTGGTAGGGACATACTCAAAGTTTGTTCAGTCCTAGTACTGGTAAATGCTGGAAACGTTAGGGATCACCTCCACAAACCTGGCCCACAGGAGCAGAAGATGCGTTCGGCATAGACTGCGGAAAGAACATCTCTCTCTTTCCTCCTGTACTTTGCCTTCTCTCTTCCTGCTCACATACACACTCACTTGCTGCTGCCCATATTTGACTTAACAGGTGACGAAGCAGCCAAATACAAGAGGAAGCACACAGACTTCCCTGGGAAGAGGTGGCCTGAGGACTTACCCCTCACTGAATCTTGGACCATCATTCTCCACTCTTCCCTTTATAAAATGGAGGTGAAAATAAATCTTTTTCCTATGACTGCTGAGAATCAATGATGTAATGAATGTAAAACCTGCCTAACTGATACTACTTTTAACAAATGACAACTATTTTATCCAAAAATTAGAAATAATATAATAATGTAGCATAGAATATTAATAAATTATAATCACAAGATAGTGTGATAGGGACCCTTGCAAAAATCATTTCAGAAAAATATTTTAAAACATTGAAAAATGCTCCAGATATGCTATCATACTCCAAAGAAAAGACAGCAAAACAGCATAAACATTCTGGTCTTAATTTTGTTAAAGTATATATACAAAAACTATTGACATCAGGCATGATAATCCCAGCACTCAGGAGGCTAAGGCAGGTAGATCACCTGAATATGAAGCCAGACAAGGCTACTCAGTAAGTTCAAGGTCAGCCTGAACTATACAGTGAGATCAAATCTCAAACAAACAAACAAAATGATTAAAGAGCTATACCAAAATGGTAACACTAGTTATTGGAATGGTGGGAATATAAGTGATTTTAATTTTCTTTTTATATTTTTGTATGCTTAAAAACTTGTATTAAAATTTTAACATTGCAGAACCATGATTATTAATTATAGTGATTTTTTTCACAAATGCTGTGACATGAAAATTTATTTAAAGATAACCACTATTACTTTACAGTTAGAATAAAACACAAAACATAAGTATTTTAAGTATTTTCAAGTGGCAAAAGATCACTATAGATGTGCATTACATTTAAGGAGCTAAAAATAACATTTCCCTGAGACCAAGTGTTGTCAGAAGTATAGACTAAAGCAAGATTTTGTAGGCTGCAATAGACTATGAGAACCTGGATCCAAATAATGGTGCATTAGATCTTTACAGAACCTTTCCATTTCAGAAATTTCTATCCTATTCTTTCATATAAACCAAATAATAACTCCAAGACAAGTACAAATTACCTCATTCTTACAGGTGAATAAACCAAAGCATGGGGATATTAGGTAACTTGGTCAATGTCAAATACTTTAATGCTTAAATTTCAAACAAGTAATCCGCTCTGAATACAGTTTTCTTACATGTATTGCATATATAAATTATTTTTTCACTGTAAATTATAATATTGAGATTCTAGAAGACTACTCCCTAGGTGTGGGGCACATCACATTAAAGAACAATCAAAGTTGGGCACTAGGAAACATTTGATCAGTGACTGAACTCAGAACCTATGAGTCAATCTCAGTTCTCTAATGGCTTAAGGAATGGTCTTAATTCAAAACCTTAAAGAATGAAGTTATCAGATGTTGCATTAGCCACTAGCAGGAGTAGAACTGGCTCAGGCAGTTTCTAGGAAACAGTGACATTAGTCATACCATCTGTCCCATAACGCAATCAAGCCTAGGTACAATCCAGAATAACAGGGCAGGGAATAGGAAAATAGGCCACATGAACCACAGAATGCAATCAATCTCACAACAGACCAGTGCCGAAAGATAAAGAGATGCAACTTATGAATGGAAGAGGAACTTCAGGAAAGAAAGAAAAAAATAAATAAATATCAGTTGTGTGTCCAAGAATGTTAAAGATGAAGTATACAAAGTGAGGGTGAGCAGTAGACAGGGAAGAGCATTTCTGGGCCTCTGCCAAACAGTAAAGATGAAAAGTTACACACACACACACACACACACACACACACACACACACACAGTTCTGCCTATTTAAATAATTTTCTCTACTATGATATTAACCAAAATGCCATTGTTCAACCTTTAGGGTAAACCATGGAATCAAAAGATCTTATAGAGATGATTAATATTCCTGACTTTATTTGCCTGAATACAGAGCCTCTGCTCCCTCCCTCCCTCCCCCAAATCTGACTTCTGGGGTCTGCACATTTCTACATCAGGAATGACCTGCTACTTTTACTACATTTTGTCACTGCATTTATGATGTGACTGTTTATGTGTAGAGCCTGACTTAGACTCTTCATTAATGTGACACTTGCTCCTAATCCATGACAGGACATTGGCATACAGTGGGCATTTGTGGCAAGCTGCATGAAATACAAATGGACATGCTAGAGAGGCAAAAAAAAAAAAAAAAACTGTAAGGAGGGCTAGAGGTATGGCTCAGTAGCACAGTGCCTGCCTGGCCAGTGTGAGAGTCCACGTTTGATTCTAGGTGCAAAAAAAAAAAAAAAAAAAAAAAAACTGTAGGGAAGCAATGACCACTGACAAGCATAGCTGAGTAGTGTAGAAGGAAGCTATTGTAACAGGAGATTCAAAACCATGGCAAGGACTTACAGATGATGCTGCACTCCTAAATGATAGGCAAGTGAAGCACCAAATATAATGTCATCAACATTAATGATTCTTGTCTGATCTGTCACCGTAGATAAGAACTTAACAAGGGATGCAACAATAATAACAGCTAAATAAGACAAGAAAATAAATTAGAAGGAGAAGGGTTTGGAATTGATATCATGGGGGAAAAAAGTAAAATTAGTAAGACTAAAGATCTGGAATTTCATTAGGAAGAGCTACTGAACAATAAGCTCAACAAAGAGAAATACTACAACGTTGCAAAAGCCAAAACGTGTGCATTAATGTATTTCAGAAAAATAATACCCAAAAAAACATGATACCTGAGATCTTCAATCTCTTTGATATAACTATGAACCATATTACTGATCTCTTCATTGCCTTCACCTAAAAGAAAAAAAAGGAAATTAATAATCCCCTTTGAAGGAAAACAGCAACAAAACAGGTTTCAAAAAGTTCAAAAACAAAATAATATTTCTTCAAAATATAATTTTACATATAACTATCTATCTTTAACTTAGCAGACAGTAAGATAATACAATATGAAGGGTACATTCTGTTTACATAAGAATTTTTTAATCTTTAAAATGAAGCACTTAACTTTTTTTAAGTACTTAAAAATCACAGATTGCGTATACACAGTTTGGCATGACTACTTCAATTCTTCTATGTAATTAATGAACAATCCCTGCCCTCCACAAGTTAATCCCTCACTCAGCCCACTCTGTGAATGTACCTGCTCTGGCGAGAACTTGGTTGGCTTGATCACTGACAAGCTGTGTGATTCTGGTCCTCAATGCATCAACTGTCTCTTGCATGGCTTTGATTCTAACACGCAGGTTATTATTTTCAGTCTGAAGCATAGCATTCTCATGAAACATGTCATTAATGCTTTCTACACCCTCCTCATCAATTATTCTTTTACCCTAGAAAAGGAAAATATTTCCTTATTGGTGGAAGAATCTTAAATACAGAGTTGTGCATGAAGATACTCCAGGACTATCCAACTCTGCAACCAATAGCTCCTTTGTCTTATGAGCACTGCGGCAAAAGATCGTTTTCCTCTGGTACAACCCTCCATGATGCATTAGTCTATTAAAAGATGACTGATTAAGACGTCTTTTGAACAACGGTAGACTAGGTTAGACTGAACATCATTTACACTACCAGCAAGGAAGATTAGAGTTCTTACTCAAAAACAGCTCCACTATTACAACAACCAAGAGATTCCAGAGACATATATGAACAAGCCATCACAAAATGATGGCATAGTGTTTACAATACAAGACCTTTAGGTACATCACAAAATGCAAAGTCAGCCCCATCTGCTTACTGTTTTGTACTCCATAAGTTCCATCTGAAGTCGTGTGATCTCACTGCGGAGGGCATTGATTTGCTGGCTTGCTCTGTCCTGATTGACCATCACTTTGTTCTTAATATTTCTTGCTCGATTGGCATATTTCAGAGTGTTTAATGTTTCCATAAAATCTCTGTCTGATGGGCTGACACATGCTATCATGATTGTTTGGCTGAAAGTTACAAATAACAGGTTTACAGATAAAAGCAAATAAAAAACTGAAATAATTACCTTAAAATGCCTGCCATTGGGCTGGAGATTTAGCTCAGTGGCATAAGCACCTGCCTGGCATGAGTTTAAGCCCCAGTACCAAATAAAACAAAATAAAATGACTGCCATTTGAATAATCTCTGCTCTTTAAGATACCAGAAGACTAGTGCTATTAACTTAAAAATCAAAGCAAGTTAAAACAAAAAAAAGGGTCAAGGATTTAGCTCAGGGGCACAAGCCCCCGCCTGGCAAGTGCAAGGTCTGAGTTCAATCTCCATTACCTAAATTCATAAACAAATAAATAAGAAAAATAAAGGCCAGTTTAAAAGTTCCCATGCTTTTAAGACTGCTTTAATCTCTAAGGAAAAAAAAGTGAGATAATACTGTGGAAGATTAATTTATATTATCTTTTATTGAGTCACAGTAGCTTGAAAAAGTACAAATGCATACATTGTTTCCCATTTCTTTACAAAAAAATTTTTGAAATGGTACAATATTTAAATTAATGTAATGATAAACGTAAGTTGAAAATCAAAAATGATGAACCTGTTTACTTATTTCACATTTTAAAAATTTCTTCATTTAACCACTGCCAAAATTGACTTGTAAAACAGCGAAGATTACATAAAAGTCAATCAAACTCAAACAAAAAGATCATAGAATACTTTATCCTTATGTTTCAAAGAATAAAAAAATTTGTGACTGAATGATCAAAGTTCCAGAATGCCTGACTAGATTACATGGGGCGGGGGGAGGGGGGAGTATTACTTTAGAAACAAAGCTTTATGGTCATGACAAACTGCTTTACCAAAAAAAAAAAAAAAACTAGGATAGTAACATGCTTAGTATGCCCCAGCTATTATGTCTGTCCATAAAACGCAAGGAAATTCTACACTCAAAATCTGACTATACAAAGTATAGAAACTGCAATTAAAGACCTAGTTCCCTCACATGAGAAGAAAATGCAAGCTTAGTAATCCTAATCTGTAGCTAAGTAGCACCTCCTTCATCTCGTTTTCCTCCCGTAACCCCAACATGGTGCTAACAGTGGCCCTTTTACCAGTATCCCCCAAAACGCCTATCTTTAACAACTGTTGTGCCTCCTTATTCTTACTCTGTGAGTACTGTCATTTAACACTCAACTAAATTACTATCTAGTCTGAGAATTCAACCTCCCAGTTAGTTGTAGCTTTTTCTTCTGTCTCCTCATAACCTTTGTGCATCTCTTTTTTAAAATTCAGTGTGATATTAGACCCCAGTCTTTAGACTAAATCTTTAGAGGAGAGGAATCATCAAGTATATTCATCAATGTACCTATGAATATGTAACACTATTTAGACCATATTAGGTCATTAACAATTGTGTTATACTTCATGGGTACATAATATTCATCAGCAATCAGCAAGTGGAGATAATTCATGCCTTTCTCAGCTCCCTCTTTTGATGAAGAAAATAAAATAATCAAGCAAGAGAAATGATTTACTGAATAAAGAACAGGGTAATTTGAAGTGTGACCCCCAGTTCAGTGCCATTCTACAAATTATATATCTCTGCTCTACAAAAAGTACGGAAATCGAGAGTCACAAGTTTAGAGACTTTCACATTTGAATTTCCTGTAATCAATGAACTCATCTACTGAATACAGACAGTATTTTCACACTCACACAGTGAGTCACAAATGGAACAAATTCAATATAATCATGCATAAAATTAACCCAGCCCAAACTGTGGAGGAAAGGAACTAACTCTTCACAAATGTTTTGAGAAGCACTAAGATCAAAAACTTAATAAGAATAATGAAAGTCAGGAATGAGAGGACTGGTCAAAATTACTATACAGGGAAAACAAAATCCAAAAGGTGTAAATTTCAAAATTGATTTTGTTTATGAAAAGCTCAAAGAAAAACTATTTTAAAAGTTCACACAATGGATAGGGTTACAGCTCATAATATGGCATGTGCCTGACAAGCTTGAGGGCCTGAATTTAATTCCCAGTAACCAAAATAAAAAAACAAATAAATATCCACATAATTACTTCAATTTTGTTTTAAAGAAAATTATATAACTTAAGTATATAGCATATATCTTGTATATTAATTTACATCATTCATTTGAAAGAAAATATAAGACAATGTTAGCAGAAGCTACAGTTAGGTCATAGAAATATAATTGATTTTTATTCCTGAGCTATCTCTTTCTGTGTTTCCCAGAAGTTTTGGTATAAATTTGTAACATTTTACTTGGCATTATAAATAGGTAAAAGCCAGTTAGGTTACATACCTATTACCCCCCAGGGAATCCTGCAGCAGTCTTGTCAGCTTGGAATCTCTGTAGGGCACATGAGTGGCTCTCTTGCTCTTGTCTCCTAACGCACTTATCACATTTCCAAGTGCCAACTAAGAGAAAGAGACCACACAATTACAGCACACACTTAAATAAAGACAGACCACAGAAAATAAAATGGAGACACCACAAAACTGGGAACATCTGCATTTGGGTTTGTTTTACATTTGTATTTTCAAGTGCAGATAAAGTAAATTTCAAAGTTTCTATATTAACTACTAATAACTGGTATTGTCCAAAATTGAGTACTCTGTACCAGTACAAATGTGCATGTGTGTGTACACTAACAACATCTTTTTTTTTAAATTAGTGCATGTCTGTAGTATATGATTATGCCCATTATTGGGCACCTTATGTATCAGTAAGATTTGTCTGAACCACGGATTTCTAGTACAAATACAACTTTCCTCAGAATTACAATGAAGTGATGTGCTAAGCATTCATTTTTTAAAAAAAGTTAAGTCAAATAGCAAAACCTTATAGTCATTGCTTTTTGCACCCTTACTTTTTCTGAAACCTCTCTTTAATGCTAGCTGTCAGGAACACAAACATCTGTAACTGTGTGGTTAAGATGCCATTGGTAGCACTAGGATCACACTGTGTCATGGTCCTTTTACAAAGAAACCACAGTCTACACACTGGCCACACTAAAACTCTAATACAGGAGCCTCCACTACAACCACAACCTAAATAGGAAAGCAAAGCAATGGCTTTTGTCTTTTCCTAATAGCACAAATGTAAATACTGCCATGATTTTGTCTTTTAAGAATTCAAAACTATACCCAAAATCCAGGATCCAGGTTATACTCTTTTCTACAGCACTTGAACCTGGCAGGAGCATCGGAGTGGGTACTGTTATTGGGAAGCCATGACTCTCTAAGTCAGCCTCAGCTGATAATACTTTATCCTCTAAAGTTCACAATGATACAAAAGCAAATACAGGGCAAGGATTTAAAATAACCATAGGTTTGAAGCCCTAGCTACAGATGGGAGGAAAGCAAGACAAAAGGCACACAAGCTGATGTTGTTAGAGTCAAAGAATGTAGGCATGGAGTACTTCTATGTGGGAACAAATGTCCAATTTTAAAATAAAGACAGGAAAAAAGATTTAGTATGAAAAAATTTACTCTAAAACATTTTCTCCCATATAACAAAAAAACCTTTGTTAACTCAATCATCAGGTGTTTTCCAATCAAAACACCACTAGGTGGCAGGCTATTAATTTCTAATACGCCCTATAAAATTTCTCATTTTAAAAAAATAATCATGCTGGGCGTAGGGGCACATGTCTGGAATCCTACCCCTCAGGAGAGTGAGGTAAGAGGACTGCTGGAAGTTCAAGGACAGCCTGGGATACATAATGAATTCAAGGCCACCTAACTACACAGCAAGACTGTCTCAAAAAATTAATTAATTAAAATAAAAATATAATCACTGAGTACATTTTATTACAATTACCAAAGTCAATAAAATGTTTTTAAAAATTGCTACTTTCTTACCCCATGAAATACTTAATAAATGTTGACCTTGCATGTGTTTAAATGTGGAAATAAATTCTAAAATAATTTCTCAATATGAAGGTTATATATGTAACCTACTGCATCCAGAGATTCTATGTGTAATCTAAATCCTATCTATCTATGCTGCAGATTTCATAAAATTTAATTCAACTACACATAAAGAAACTCAGTGATAAAAAAAATCCCACACTATGAGGTCACCTATTCACTGAATTACTAATCAAGTTTACAGCAATTTTTTCTTCTCAGTTCAGTACATGAAGGACCTCCTTGAAGTGTGCTATGCCTTATAACAGAGAAAAAGAGAACAGACAAGCCCTGATGTATTCCTGGCACACAGTTTTAGCCTTACAAGCCCACAGTTGATGGAAATGCCTTCTTTTGCCCTCTCTCCTGTAGCTCCAGTTCGTTTCAGTCTTTCTGATCCTGCCAGATCAACAAAATGAAACTTTGCAGTCAGGGTTTCAAATTCATTCATTTGTGGTGATTCAGAAATCATCTTATTATCAGTCAGATTGTCCTGCAAGTAGGGAAAAAGAGGGAAAATATTTTATTAGTGTGATACTAAATATTCTCTAACCCATCCTTGCTCTCAACCCATGTGCATATGTAAGCACAGGCAAAAAAATAAGCATTCAGCCAAATAAATACATATGCAAAACTGTAAGCTGGAAATTAAAAACAATGTCAGAAAGAAGCTGGAAGTAGGAATCCAACTGTTACCAACTGGGGCTTTGCTAATGCTGATGAAGGGAACCACAGGTAGCACACAGTCCTCCAGAGCAAAGGGTCTTAGGTGACCCCACCAGCACCACAATGTGCTGCCTGGATGCTGCAGACATGTATATTCACTTATTAACTTCAAACTGTAATATGGTTGACCAGCTTCAACAAATAAGATCAGAAGAAGCAAGTAGGAAAAGTAATGATTAAACAAATAGAATTTGGGTCAGCTGTGCTCCCAGGATTGATGTGATTTTAGGGAGATAAAAACTGAAAGTTTGAGAAATGAAAACTGATAACTCACGGCCTCTACTTGGGGGCACACTCGAGTCTGACACACATGAATCGTAAAAATGGCATGTGAACGAGAGCTCTGAACATTCATCTGGGTACTGGCAGTGGTGCGAGATAAAGCACCCAACTTTAGACACTGCATCATCTGGAAAGAGGGAGAGGAAGGACTTAACTGAGTAATGCATAAACAAGACATCAACCAACCCACACGCCCACCAACCCCATGTCTGAACCAACACTGAAACCCTCCATTCTAGGATTTGTAACAGATGCAGATTTTCATATTAGTTACAGGAACTTTTGGAGCTGGATTTCTCAGTAGAATAGTACATTATTTTTTAAGTAGGAAAAACTCTGAGATGACATAGTTTGCTATTTGCTGACACTTGCAGCATTCATTCCCAAACTGTTACAGGAGATTACTTTGGTACAAACTGAGCAGTAACTTGAATTGGTCAGGTACTTCTATATCTTCTGTTGAATATTTTTTCAATTTTACTTAATACTTTCCTTCAAGAACCAAGATACCATTCTAGATATGTAATAGCAAAAGGTCCATATCATTGTTTTTTTTATTTGGGTTTTTTATTTTGTTTTGTTTTGTTTTTTGTACCAGGAATTAAACTCAGGACCTTGCACTTGCCAGGCAAGTGTTTATGCCACTGAGCTACATCCCCAGCCCCTACATATCATTCTTTATCATCAACTGCTTAACCTTCTTTATCTGTGAAAGAAAACTATGTCTACACTGCCTTAGATTCTTTTGATGCTTGCTCTTATCATAACCCTGACATTCATACTGTCCTATTTATAAAAAATATGAGGAAAGAAGATGACTTAGTTTTGTTAAACTTCAGAATAATCTTATCTTGATCTGAACCTACCAGTAAGGTGGACTAAATAAAACTAACTATGCTATATATTTTAACTGCAACATAAACATCACCTCAGATTCTGTATTCACAGTGCGTGTTGTGACTCCCACAGTATAAATTCCTCCAGTTGAATCTTCATGAATTCTTATATTTGATTTTTTATTTTTTGCATCAATATCACGTGTAGTGTCAAATAAGTCAAGAACCTCTTCATTATAGAGCTATCAAAATGAAATATCAGATGTTTAATTTGGGTAGAAATAGCCTTAAGAGTTTCATAACACATTGTATAATGTCATCCCTCATATATATTTTAAAAGGTTTTCAAAATGATGCCCATTTCTTCAAAATAACACAAATGTAAGTGAGGCAGTTGTTATAAATATAAGTAAAAGCACATTTATGAGAATAAGAAAGAGATATGACACTGTTACAATGAATGAGTTGAGGACTAGATAAAATGATTAATCCTTTGCAAGAGATTAAAAAATAAAAACACAAGCAAACTTAAATACGTATTAAAAGTTGACAAAGCCTAAGTTTAAAGATTTTAATTAGAGGAATCCTTAAGAGATTTAAGACATTTTGCTACTTAAACTGCTAATGTATTTCTTTTTGCCCCATAACTCTTTTATGTGTCTAAAAATTAATACTTAGCATTTTTGTAAGTCAGCAATGATGTTAGTGTTTCTGTACCAACAATGGCTAACAAGGAGCTCTATCTTGTTTATTACCATTACTGTTAGCTTCTTGTTTAGAAGAAAAAACAGATGGCTATTTTTCTATGATTATGTGGAAAAGTCACAGCACCGAGCATTGTGGAGGGTGAAGGGAAGAAGGAAGAACACTCTTTTTTAACCATCACTTTTGATAGAAACACACAGATTATCAACTTTTGTTGATAATCAAAAGTAAAGGGAAGGGAAGATGTCTTCTTAAACCAACAGTAAGGTACATGATATTAAGTTGTGTTTTATTTTGTGCTAGGTAATGCTAAGTAAAATATTTCAATAACCCAAATGATTACCTTCTGGGACACATGATCTCGATGAGAACACTCCTTGGGCCAAGCACTCACAATTATAATGCCCCAGACAACCTAACTACTATCGTCTTCACGCTATCATGATTTTTTCACCAGATCACACAGTCTTAAATTGGTCCACACCTGCTTACCTCTGAGACACCATGCCACAGCATTTCCTGATCTGGTGGAACTACAGACCTCTGCAGACAGCCCAGTGCAACTGCTCCTGCCTTTGATGTTTCACATTCTGCTCCTCCTTCCCACCTAAGTCCCCTCGTCCCAGCACTTGGCAAGGCTGTCTCAATTACTACAGTAATTTAACTTTTTTTCTTAATAAGGGCTCTGAAATGAACAATATTAACTGTATTGTATTCTATAGACACAGGTAAATTGTTTATTATGTTAAATGCCATAAACAGTGAATATATATATGTAAGGATTATGTAGTACCCCCACTACACATAAGGCACTGTACTAGCAGACGACAATATAAAATCACAAGGGTTGATAGCTTGAACAATAAAATTTGAAGAAAATTAATGACATAGATTATTACCTCCAAAAATTGGGCATTCACTTTAAAATCTGGAGGAGGAAGTCCATTTCCAATTGCTGCATGCTTTTTTTCTTCAATACTCTTAAAAAGGTGTTTAACAGCACGAGAAATAATACCCTGTTCTTCCTCAGTGATGTTAACATCGAATCCTGTTCCCATTGTGTATGTTTTGCCAGCTCCAGTCTGAAAAAAAGAATAATATAGAACAATGAATGTTCAACTTTAATACAACCACAAGAAACAAAATACTATGGTGTAATTGGGTTGACAGTTCTGAAAAGTTAGAGCTCCTATGAAAATAATATGGTACTTACTTGTCCATAAGCAAAAACTGTAGCATTGTATCCTTCAAAACAACCTTCAATTAGTTTTTCAATACACTGAGTATAGATTTGTTCTTGTTGGGAGTCTATGTCAAATACATAATCAAAAGTAAAGGCCTTATCTTTCCCTAGGAAGACCTGGGGCTCTCCTGGAGTGACCGATGTACAAATATGGCATCCTTCAATCTTTTCTTTGGCAAGCTGTGGTCTTATTCTGCAAGAAATAATCAGGGGGAAAAAGTAACATAAAAAAAATATTCTCAAGAAACAGTACTTAACAGTTGCTGGTCAATTCTGTTTTAAAGACTAGTACAATCACCTACTGCTTCTTCAGTTGAACAGATTAAATAAACTGAACTGTGCTGAACTAATTTCAGTATGTGAGACGACTTGCTTAATAAATTCCAGTGAGTTATATAATAACTCTCCAAAGTCATGAACAAGAAGATAAAATTCATTTTAAAATTAAACATTTACTTAAGAAAATACTTTTCTTCAAATCTGTAAGAGGTACACACTGTTCAAAAGTACTCTTTCTTGCTGTTTTTAAAGTTATCATCATATGCAAATATTTATCTTAATTCCCTTGACTCACCTTGTTGCAAACTCTTCACCAATCTCCAAACTCTTTTGACCATTACTGTTAGCTTCATATGTCTACACATAGTAACACAATATATACATATATCTTCTGTTTATAAATGATAACACTACTTTCTACATGTACTACTACATTGATTGGTCAAATACTGAGATGTATACAGAAATAGAATTCTGTAAAGAAAGAAATTAAAAATAAATACAAATAAAGCATAATATTTTCTCTCCAAACCCATGAATTATGTGCTGCCTTCTCCCAAGTTGGAAGATCCACAGCCTTACATCCATGTTATACTCATCTCCACATACTTGTGACTCAGTATCTTTCTATTCTATTGTCTTATCCTAATTGTACAATCTACTTTCTTTTTTGGTACTGGTGATTGAACTCACAACCTTGTGCTTTCCAAATAGGTGCTTATACTGCTGAGCTAAATCCCCAGCCCCCTATTTTCAAAGAAGGAAAGTAAATACAGTAACAAAAGGAACCAAAAATTGGCCCATTCTCTTTACTCATGACAAAGACCATCCTGGATGACTTACTGGGTTTTTAAAGAGATTTTTACTTTAGATAGAGAAGATTTTTTAAAAAGACAAGATAATCAGAGATGGAAAATATAAAATGATAAAGACAGAGAAAAGAATTAATTTTAAAGCAATCTGGTCCCACATACTTATTTTTTGAGATAAAACTCAGATCCACATAGGTACAATGAGTTCACCTATTTATTAGCAATAAAGCCAAGCCTACATGTGGATCTCTTGACTTTTAATTTTCTCATTCATCAAGATGGAAGGTCAGTGAAAAGACAGGAAAGATGATACTGAAAAGGAACGGAATTGCTGCAACACTGGTTATCTAAAATAGAATTCCATACTCCTGAAGAAAAAATGTAAGTGAAGAATGTATTTATGCAATCATTTTCTTTCCTCTGTCATATCATTTTTCTTTGATCAAGCCTTTAGCTACATTTATTTGTTTTAATGGAGCCAATAATCAATATGATGCTGGCAAGGTACTGTGGAAAGAGGACAGTGAGGCCACCAGAAAACCTCTGTCCCACTGCTCTTGTGGAGCAGGTACCATACGGTTTTCCCTCAGAGAACCAATGTCCTCAGCTGTGAGCAAAATGATAATTTTTAAGGTTCCTTTTAGATATAACGCAGTTTCACTGCGGGATACTATTTTATTTAAAAAGATAAAGCGGAAAGTAATAACTATGTATTGTTATAAAATGATAGTATGACAACGAAGAGTTCTTTATAAAATAAGCTATGTCCACAGACTATAAAAACAGCCCAAGGTAGCACTGGTTTCATTTCTCTGGTTTCACATATTGTTAATAAGTGGTATTTCTCAAAATTAATATTCTCTTCCTTCCAAACTCCTCTTTTTCTGCCTTCTTCCAGTTATGGGAAAGAAACTATTGCAAAACCACAATTCTGTTTAGGAAAATTACTATCTCTATAGTTGTCAAGCCAAAATTAAAACAAGAAACAACCTCCAGGGAACACCAGCTCCTCCCCTTCTCTACTCCATCTATCTATCTCTGAGAGCTATTTATTACTTCTGAAATAGCTCTCCACTCCATCGAGTTCTCTTTCCTCATCCACGTCATCCTGTGCAAGACTATCATTATGTCCTACTTAGAATATTACAAAAGTCTCTTCACCACTATGCTTCTGTCAAATCTTTCCCTCCTAGCAATGTTTTCCCTGCACTGATATCAGTGCTAATTTATAAATCAGGAAGTTGACCAGATCACTTACTTAAAACCAGTTAGAGCAACTTTCTACCTGTTTTCTCATGTTTCCATCAAGTGTAATAGTAATGGTTCATTTTAATCAATTTCACTCACAAGTTATGCTTTCTCCTGTTTCTATGCCTTCAAATTCATTGCTTCCTTCTCCTGACCACTCTCCTCCATGTCTTCAGTATCAATCCTCTTTACCTGTTTAATCTGTCATGTTTTTTGTTTGTTTTGTTTTGTTTTTTGAAACAGGATCTCTTTATGCAGTTCAGGCTGGCCTTGAGCTCACTTTGCAGCCCAGGTTGGTCTTAAACTCACAATGATCCTCCTGCCTCGGCCTCCCAAGTGCTGGAAATACACACATGTGCCACCATGCCCCGTAATGTACCCTATATTTTTTGGTGTCAGTTCACTTGGAAGTTCTCATGACTTCTTTGTCCCAACCTAAACCTATACCTAAGAATGTACTTCTTTCAAAGCTACCTCACTGGTCCCAGGTCTCCGCTCTCCATCATCTTTATGGCTACTACATGACTCTGAATTATAGGTTAACTGCTTTGCCTATTAAAGATACCTTTAGTTTTATTTCTGCATAACAAAGAAATATTAGTGTCATATGAATTGCAAATCTGACAATGGCACTCTGAATGTCTTTAACCTCCTAACCTCTACTCATCTGATTATTATCTTTGCTAGTAGCAAGGAGGCAGAACTTTCTGAAACATACATGATGCTTAATTCCACTTAATTCCTTGGAAGAGTGGTTTTTAAATGACAGTAATATGTGTGAAATCCTTTTCTACTAGATGTAGGCAATTTCCTAGTAGGTCTGAGTTCGCATTAAGAAGAGAAGATGGCCCTCAAACAGGTAGATACTTGGAAGCTAAAGTTAAGGAATGTTTTTCTTTTTAATTCCCTCTTTAAAATTAGTATTTTATATTACTGGGAATCTGACATTTATAATCTGAATTTGAATACTTTTTCTTAGTATTTTTATGTAAAGATAAATATCGAATTCCAACATCAAGAAACCAGTGTTAACATTTTGGTTAACATTAAGAAATAACAAAGCCTTAATATCTAAATTTGTACAAATATACTTAAGATATCTAAGATAATTGTGCTACAAATTCTATTAGTCCTTGGAACAAAACAATTAATATTTCACAGGATTGGATCAATTTTGCAGGTTTGTGTCTGATGATCTGAGGAACTCTTTTGAAAATCACTATGTAAAATAACAACCTTAGTTACATTCCTACCACCTTGTTTTGAAGGCCTATATCCTTGTTGTTTTGGGCTCCTTGCTACTGTTACTGTGTTTCTTGTTTTTATTTTTCTAGTAATTTGTTTTCTTTTGTTTTGTTTTTCTCTCTAATGCAGAAATGATAGGTGTATATGTAGAGGCTTACACACGCCTAGACCTTCTCCTAAACAGTTTACGTGAATCAATCATATTATACATGATGATATGCACAGTTGTTTTGAAGAAAAAGAGACATTATGGTGTCCATTGCTGATTTCCTATCATCAGCTGTGAAATCCAGTAATGATTTAATTCTTTGTTAAGAGTGGTTTTAGTCTGTTTTGTATTGTTTAATTTCCACATACATGAAGGTATAGACAGCTATTTTGAAGGGAACAAGGGACATTACAGTAGCCATTGTTTATGTTTCTGCTGTCTGGTTTTGAAGGCCTGTGGTGTCTTAGTCTATTTACTCTTTGAAGGCCTGTAGTATCTTACTCTATTTTGATCAGTTTTTTTTTTTATTTTAAAGAGATCAAGACACAAGAGGACATAACAAAGCAAATCAGAACAGAACAGGTTAAGCAACAGAGTATTTCACCGCAAGACACACAACGATATAACAGTAGCTACCATAATGTTTTTCTTTGAAATAGTTGAGCATACCTTCATATACAATAATATCAAACATAACAAAATAGTACAAAACCATTCAAGAGAATGAAAGTATTACAGAGCATTCAGAACCAAATAACAGAAAATGAACAATGGCTATTATATTATCTCATTGTCCATAAAAAATTTGTTTATACTATCACACATAATAAAATCCAGTAAGACACAACATGATAGAATCAATGGAAACAGAAGAACAAAAGCATGGTAGGACTTCAAAGCAAGATGGTATTAAATCAGCACTGGCTATTGTAATGTCTTGTTTTCTTCAAAATAGCTGTTCATACCATCACAGATAATAAAATCAAACAAACAAGGATAAAACCATTCTAACTAATGAATGCAAACATTATAAGGCTTCAAAGCAATGTAATGGGGAATCATGATTACCATAAACTCTTATGTACTCTTACCATTTTTATATTAGGGAGACTATATGGTATTTATGCATATGAGTTTGATTTATTTCACTTATGAGTATGGTCTCAAGTTGCATCCATTTATTTATAAATATCTCAATCTGGTCATTCTTTATAGCTGAGTAGTACTTCACTGTATAAAATACCACAACTTTTTTACCCATTCCTTAATTGATGGACACTTAGGTTGATAATAGCCAAGATCTGGCTATTATAAATTATGCTGCTATAAACATGGGTGCACATATATCACTGTGGTATGATGTTTTCAGTTCTGCAAATATGCTTAGAAGTGGAATAGCTGAAACAAATGGGATTTCCAATCCCAGCTTTTTGAGAAATCTCCAGACTGACCTCCACAGTGGTTGCACCAGTCTACACTCCCAGCAACAGTGCAGAAGAGTTCCTTTTCCCCACAGCCTCTCCAGCATTTGTTGTTGGTAGTTTTCTTGATCCTGGCCATTCTTTCCAGAGTGAAATGGAATCTCAGTGTGGTTTCAATTTGCATTTCTTTAACAACTAA